CCGGGGAGCGCAGGGCGGCGCGGCGGGGGCCGTCCCCGGGCGGGGCCTGGCTTCCGGCAGGTTTGCAGCTCGTCTGGTTCGGGGAGACCCGCAGGAGGTCCAGTCGGACAGGTCTTTGGCCGGGTGAAGGCTGGACGCGGCTAGGAGAAAAACAGCCTAGACTGTTGGGGGGAAATATACTCCACGTTACACAGCTCGCACCCGTGCGGTGACCAGGTCCTCTCTCCAGAGGAGCTGCCTGTGTGCCCCTTCAAGCCTCAGTTTCCACATCTGTGAAGCGGGGCCAGTGGAAGCCAACACATCGCGCTGCTGTGCGAACCGAATCAGAACATCTGTGGGAGGCATCTGCATGCCTAGCACTTCAGGGTTGAGTAAACGAGAGCTGTTAAAGTCTGCCAATATTATCGCAAGGGCAGAATGCTAAATTGAGCTCTAGTTGGACAGCGGAGGTTGAGTATGGACTTTCAAATCCTGAATCTCTACCTGTTAGGAAGTTTCTAAAAAAAAAAAAAGTGGTTAATGACCGGTGAGGAGGTAGTGGAAGATCCTAGGTAAGCGTAGAGGGTTGGTTGGAGACTAGAAAGATCCCTGTGACGGTAAAAACCGCAGTTTCTGCTGTCCTCAGAAGTGCCTCTCTCCTCCCCCACTGTCTCCCACCGTCACTCCCCAGTTCCAGTTTTGCCGGTTTTTAAAATCCGGTACAATTGCTGTCTCATTGGTTCCCGTCTTCCCCAGCTCCTGCCCCCTCCTTTGAGCTGACAAACGCATTCTCCCATTCTCCTGTGTTTGTTTAGAGTTTAGCTGCTGCCTGGCTTCTGACTCCTGGTCGCTCCTCTCCCCCTCGCCCTCCCTCTCCCTTTCTGCCTCCCCGTTTCCTCCCCGTCCTTCTCTCTTTCCCGTGTACTGGGGACTGAACCCAAGGACTTCTCACTAAACTACATCCCTAGTTGGGTTGTGTTTTGTTTTAAAATCTTGAGACAGGACCTCACTAAATCGCTGAGTTGGCCAGACTGGGATTGAATCTGGGGTCCTCCTGCCTCAGCCTCTCAGGGTGCTGGGATGATGCGACTTCTGGTTTTTTTGTTGTTATTGTTTATGAACAGTGGATGGTAAAGTAGTTGAGCAGCTAGGAAGAGTTTCTGCTGAGTTTACCAAGCTACTTCCAGTCCGGTGAGCCTGGAGTCTTAGTTGGACTCTCTCTCTTGACTAGATGTAGGTGGTAGCAGACCAAGTGATAATTCCCAGTCTCCCACCACACGGGGCTAGCTAATTAAAGAAGGCAGGCGTCACCAGAACCTGTGCACGGATCACCCCAGGAAGCTGTATATCATTCCTGCCTAACGTTAGTGCTCTTGGCAATGGACTCCTTTAGGCAAGTGTTTATGCCTCATTATCAAGATTGTGGCTTCCGTTTAGCAAGGAATGTAACTGTAGCTTCCAGACAAAGAAAGAGCTAATACAAATTTTGTTTCTGCTAGATTATTCTACATCCCCTGAAGGCCGTCATGGACAGTTTCGAGTTGGTACGCCTTCTGCACAGCATTTACTCCCAGGCACTGAGAGAAGGTGCCAGCGTGTGCCCTGCTTAACACACAGCATCAGGCCATTCTGGGGTGAGTTCAACTTTAAAAATGCTGAAGCTGGTGACCCAGGAGGTGGAAGGGACTTGTTGAGAATCAGGGGATTCACAGAGAGGGCTCTAGCTCCGGGATTCTGAGTGCTGGGATTGAAGTAGTTCTCTTTTATAAATTTCTGTGCCCCAAAGCAAATATGGCTGCTACCAATGAAGCACTACAGACTGACTTACAATAAATGGAAGTATTAATATGATGTGAAAGTTTTAACTCACAGGAACATAACTTACTTGAACATTGTGGTAAATGCTTCTTAAGACACTTATAATGCATTAAGTTCAAAGCATATTTTATACAAATAATTTGCCTAACATCTAGATATATTCAAATATCTGAGTTAATATATTCCATAATGCTTTACTTCCTACATGAGAGTGAGAATAATATTCAAGTGACTAGCTCATTAGAATCAACTTTTAAGATTATCTAAAACAAAACTTTTTTAAAAAAGTTTTTAAAAAGTTTCATAAAGACTAATAAAAACTAACTGCCTCCTTACTTCCAATACATCTTAGCATCAAAGATCTTATAGATTGACTTTTTTTTTGAAACAGGGTTTCACTATGTGTTTCAGGCTAGCCTTGAACTTTTATGTAACTTATGGTGGCCTCTAACTCTTGGCAATCTTCCTGCTTCGGCCTCCCCAGTGCTGGGATTACAGGCATGTGCCACCGAGCCGGGCTGTAAGTTCACATTTTGTTGGCTAAAGTTCTCATAAGATAATTGACCATTTAATTCCACTGAAAATCCCACCGAGTATATGATAAGAATTAGTATTTGAGAGGTCAGAGCTTACTCTGGCTGCTGTCCTGTGAAAATGCCTTATAACCAAATCATAGAACTGTATGGCTGCTACACAGAACAAGGTTCTTGTGATCAAGAGGCTTATTTCTAGAACAGTGGTTCCTTAAGGGATACAGAATTAGGAGAGTGGCTCAGGGAAAGAGCACTTGCCTAGCCCTGCAAAAATAAGTAAATAAATAAAAGTTAAAAAGGCACGGAAGATAATGCGAAGTACCTCCAGGTCATGTGAGAAAGTATAAAAGAAGAAATCTGTTTCTTGTTTGGTTCCAATGACTTATTCAATATTTAGTTTATCCTGGCTCAAGACACATTTAACTTGCATTTTATTGGCAATGCAAGGATAAGTAAGTGTTCCTGCACCCAAAGAAACAAAAATAGAATAATACAACTGCAGCAGGAGAACAGTACGTGCAGGGTTGATGAGAAGTGAAGAGTCGCTAACTCTCACCCGAAACCAAAGTCAAGGCTTTCTGTGACAGGCGCACTCAGCTGCTTCTCAAAGGGTGAGCACCGGTGGACCCCCACCTGCCAGGGCAGAGTCACTGCGTTAAAGAGTCTGGCTTCAGCTTTATCTGTGCAGAAAGCTCTACCTTAACAGGAACAGGGAAATCACAAGTAGAAGCTTTCCTTTTGGTAGAAGTACTAAACTTGAGCTATTAGAGCCATGTACATTGGGAAAGTTTGGCAAGGATTTAGGGGTGAGAGAGAGAACACGACTGCAGATAGGTTCGGGAGGCAGAAAGAGTCGTGTAATTTTGTTCCCATCTCTCTGGCTCTTTCTCAAGCCTTCTCATATTCTCTGCCTACTTGTAAAATAATTGTGTATAGAGTTGTCTTTTCCCTCGTTTTCTCTTACTTGGTGGCAGGAGTGATTCTGCAGCCGTCCCTGTTGTGCAAACCCATCACCGTTTTGTTTCCTAAGCTTCCAACACAGGCCGTCACCTTTTACATGTTTCTTGGGAGCCTCAAACAGCTGTGCTAATTTTTAGGGGTATCAGTCTCAGCACATAGGTAAGAAAGATCTCCCCATCCCTTCCTACCTCTTGAAGGCAACCTCTCTCCTTCCTTATAGGCCTAACTCAGGAAATGTCAACCTGGCCATCCAAGTCGGACCTTGGGCGATATCTTAAAGTTTCCTTTTTCCATGATCCCCATGGTGTCAAGCAATCTACATCTCTCTCAATTCTCTTTGGCCCTGTTCAAAATGATTCATACAACTTACACAGAGCAGCAATCACAGTGTGGTTTGTGATTAGTTCAGCTAAGTCTGCTCCTCCACCCGTTTCTCAAGATTGTTAGGTCACTGGGAGCGGAGGCTGTGTCACGTTCATGGTGGGCTCAGCCCCTAAGTATTCAGTGCGCACTGGGTGATTGGTTAATTGAAGCAAACCCACATACCAGAAGGAATTAATTACAAGTACTGTAAGGAGAAGGGAATATTGTAAGGAACAGTATTTGGGGTATCCACACTGGGTGACTTACAGTGGATCTAGTTAGAAAAGGCTGGTCTGTGTTGTGTGTGTGCGTGTTGGTTTGTGCATGTGTGTTTTCCCCCACAACACAGGGATGGAACAAGGCTGGCAGATGGCAGGTGTGCATCAGGAAGATAAGAGTCGAGTGGCTGATGGCTGAGAGGTGGTAGCGTCTGAGATGTACATGGAGTCACGTGTGTCCAGCGGGGAGAGGGCCTTGGTGAAACTGGAGGACTTTTGTGTTCAGTTGAAGACAAAGTCCATTACGCTGGGAGTGGAGAAGTCCACTTAATTGTGGAGAAGCCAAGATCTCTCTAGGGAGGCCCAGGCTTGGGTGTCATCACAGACAGTAGGAGTCTGAAATTCTCACGGCCTCTCCAGCTGGACGGACCAAGAGCACATCCAGGCTAGGTGTGAGAGAAGTGTTGGCAGGAGAGGGGTAGAGGGTGGCCCATAATAACAGGGTGGGAAAAGCTCTGTTGCCTTTCTGAGTTAGAACTTACAGAGCAACAATAAAAGCCCAGCAGACTCCAGGCCTTCTGGCTCAGCACACAGAAGCCAGCACATCTTTGATAAACAGTCACTCTCATCAGAGCAGAAATAGTCAGCCCTAAAGCGTAACCACAGACGCCAACACCTCCTGAGAGCGAGAGAGGCCCAGGGCGGTGAGCCACAGTGCTTGTGAGTCAGTGTGTGAGGGAGGGCCGATGGCTTCAGGTACAAAGTCCCCGAGCCTAGGATTTTATGGAAATTGCTAACATTGTGCATGAGGTGGAGGGGAATTAGGGAAAGATGAAAATGTTGCAAAATAGGATTTGGTGCCCTGGAGAAAACAAACTAGTCTGTTCTTGAGTCTAGGAAGAATGCTACACATGTCCTAAGAGATTTAAAAAAGTAAGCTCCACTGGTTTCAAGTGTGATCAGACTATAGTAATGCTGGATTGAGGTGCATATCAAGCAAGCCGCTGCTGGGAGATCGAGCCACACCTTCATGCCCTGCTAGGTTGCCATGCCCTCCTGAGTGATGCCTGACGCCATTTGGCTGAAGCCTGCTGTGCTGGTGCAGTGCATTTACTGGGAGGGTGGCATGTTACTCCATTATCCGTTATTTACTTCCTAGCCCGATGCCACAAATGTAACATGTGCTCTGCCTCAGGGCTTTTGCGCTTGCTATCCTTTTTCCTAGAAAGTTCTGCTCTAAAAGTGAACAGGGTTCTCCTTGTCTCCCCTCCATGAGATTAAAGTGGTCGTGACCCGGTGTCCAGGGCTTCTCATCCCACTGAACCGTGTTATGTTTCTTCTTGCTGTCTCATATTCTCAAAGAGTATGCGTTCTCATGATCACATCACCATTCCCTAAAGTGCAAACTCCCCGAAGGCTGGGGTTTTTCTCTGACAACTACTGTGTGCCCAGCGTCTTAGAAACCACCTGATTCAATAAATTTTAGCTCAGTGTGTGAATGAATGAAAAAGTAAATAAGGTTTCAAGGTTTATTGTGGAAGAGATATACATATGTGCTTATGTGTGTGTGTGTAAAGTGAGGGTAAAGCAGGAAAGTTCACAGGAACGTTAGTTCCCAGGAAGGGTACGTCACAGTTGTGTCAGGGTGGACATTGCTGAGACTGCCTGGGAGGGGTGAAGTTGGGGAGGAGGTGCAGAGCCCTGTGCAGAGCTTTTTTGTGTTCTTCCTCTTCTCTAAGGCTCTTCCTTCCAGGGGCAGCACAGCGAGAAGCGCGCCATGTGGGAAACTCCCTTTCCTTCTGGAAGTGAACAAAGCTGGCATTCATTACAGGAGTGCAGGTCTTGGGAATGTTGATTTTATCTAGGTGTGATAAATCTATGGCTTCGGTTTTGCCCTAGGATTTGTTTATGGGAGTTTTTGGAAAGATAAGGGCACTGGCAGTTGCAAGGAAGGCCAGGAGAGAGGTTCTTGGTTGCTAACAGCTACCCTGGGCTGGAATCCGTCAGCGGCATGGCGTGGCGTGGCGGGGCTTGCCGGGGTTTTACAGCAGGCAGGGCTGTGTTTACTCAGAGTGTCAGACAGAAACCATGGGCCGACCCAGTGTGACTAATGAGCTAGGAGGTGTAGGGAAAGAAACCCAGAGGAATACAGGCAAGAAAAACAAACAAACAGAACCAGAGCACACAGACAAGTGACATCCTTCTGGGTAACAACAACAAAAAAGACGATGAAACAGAGGCGGTGCAACAGCTTTGGAACACAAATCTGGAAGTAAAATACTGGGTTGAAAGATCTTTTTGAAATGACCCAGAATGATGGTTATAAATGATTTAGCGGAGACGCAGAATCTCAAAAGTACATAATTTCCATTCTAAGGGAAAATCAAAGATTCAAAAGAATTAAATTACTTATTTTAGTTTACTTAAAAATTAGTCTTTGGGTGGTGTTTAATTAGTCAGTACTATGCCAGTTGACATAGTAATCTTTTACTACTAAACTTTGGAAATGTGTTTCTGGCTTATTTTGTTAAACTGATGGGAGCACATTTGAGATTAGTGAGTAACAATGTTCCTGGCTGGGCTATAGCTCAGTGGTTGAGTGCTTGCCCAGTGTGTGTGAGGCCCTTGGTTCATACCTAACACCTGAAAAACACATAACGCTATTCTCTTGCGTTTTGATACTCAGACGGAGGAAGAAGGTGGGTTCTGTTGGGGATCGAGAAGGGAGCATCTGTGTGAGCTTGTGCATGGGAGATCACTGTGATATACACTGAGTGATATACATTGAACTTGTGCCTGTCATGTCACATGTACAGTGCGGGGGAAATATTACTAGGAGCCACTACTTCGGAGGACACACTTTTGTGGGCTGTGCTGACTAAAACTAGAATGCTGTTACTGTTGAATTTGAATTAGATATTATGAGTGTGTGTACTTTCAATGGAGTAGCTTCACATTTGTAGCAAAAGTAACAGAAAGCCTCATAATAGGATAAATAATAAGTTAATCAACATTGTCACATTGATACATACCCAGGGGATTGGAAAGTTAAGCTGGCTTTTGGATATTGCAAGAGGAGAATAAAACCCTGGCTCTAATGGACAGCATTTCAGGAACATGTTTGTTTTTAAACCTCTGGTGCTTGAACTATCAGAGCACCAGAGTGTGTGTGTGTGTGTGTGTGTGTGTGTATACTAGTTTTAGTTTTATCAGAGCACCAGAGTGTGTATATGTGTGTGTGTGTGTGTACTAGTTTTAGTTTTATCTAGTTCTCCCTCAAAATATGACTTTATTAGCAGAAATATGTTCAAACATTAAGCAAAGTAGTAAAAGGAAAGTTTGATACAAGAAACCAAAGGGCAAAACTTGCTCCGGGTAAATTAGATTTAATAATCACAGTGACCCTTACCAGCTTGTCTGAAGATAGTTACGATTAAAGATTTTCTATATAAATCATAATGTTCCTTATGAACATTACTGTATACCTTGAAAGCTGACCTGTCATTTAACTAGGTAACTGTCTGTGAATTTTCTGCTTGAGTTCCAGGCTCCCACCTCTAGCCCCAGCTGGCAGAACTGTTCTGAAAGAACACCAGAGTGACATCATGCCTTTGGAGTGAGTCACAGCCCTTCCATGCACATTCAGCTACAGTAGAGGTAAGTCAGTCAGTCAACAAAGATTTCTTGTGGCTAGTTTTCCTATGGTTATGAAAGCAGAAGAAAGTGTATCACTGTGCTTTCTTGACTTTGGGATTAGAGCAGTCATTTGAAGCAATCAGTAAATTTGATGGCAAGAAGTTAAGCAGACCAGTACCCCAGAGAAGACCCAGAGCGGATCAAACTTAGATCCATGTGGAAGTTCATGTGAAGAATTGCTTTGTGGTTCCTAAAAGTGCCATGATGAGTTTTCACTTGTTGGTGTTGTGAGGGGATCAGCGTGTACCTCAGAACTTTCAAAAATTGGAATCCTGGGAACAGATTATGGATGTGGAATAGAATGGTTTGTTGTTCTTTATATCTTGGATTTTCACTTTAGAAGTATGAATAAGCTCTACACCCCCCCACAATACAAAACAAAACAAAACAAAACAAAGATAGTGGCTTCTAGGCTTTTGGGAATAACGAAATGGTGGGATTTTCATGGAGCGTTCTATTTGCTTTCTTCATAGGCACTGTGATGCATTACGCCAGTTGGTCAGAATGTGACACCTGAGTCCCTGGTGTGTTTATGCACACAGAGATATCAAATGTGTGATTTGAGATACACTGGAAAATGTCTGTTCCCAAAATGTGCTACCTCCTAAACTGCATGACAATAATGGGGTTTTACTGTTTTCTGAGTCAATAGCTATTCTAACTATTAAAGACTCCTACTGCAACAAGGAGTGACCCTCTTTTCAGCGATTTGTGTCTTGCTGGGAATTCCTCAAGTTAAAAACTGAACTGCTAGGTGTGGTCAGATTTTTAGAGGAAGCACGTGGTAATGCGTATGAAGATGTTAGGCACATCACGTGTTAGAATTAAGGGAAAACATGTAAAAGTAAAGATAAATTTCATATTTGGCCATTTGGTGTTGGCTCAGCTAGCTTTCGCAAATAAAACTTTTTCATTAAGGCAGTAGGTTGGCACCATAAATCTCACAGAAACTGAAGTAATGTGTGGTCTGGTTTTCATGCAATTAATTGCTATCCTACTTTCATTATTGAAAAGAAATAGCCTACTGGAGGTTGATTCAATGGCGTCTTTCTTCTCATGCTGCTTTTCAAGTACATCTCTATTATCTATCTATCTATCTATCTATCTATCTATCTATGTATCTATCATCTATCTATCCCCACAAAGCAAGATGGCTCCCCTGTCTACTGGATGGAAATGATACAATTAGAACTTTTAGGGTAAGGAAGCTTCCAGTCTGCTCATTGCTATATTGTCAGCAGAGTGTGATAATAGAAACGCCCACTATTGTCCTGTCACCCTTGAGTCAAATACACTGAACAAGATAATTCACGTCTTCCATGTTGAAGTCTAAATTCATATTTCCAAGAAAGCTCAATTCAAAAACTGCAGTAATTTAGTGATCAGTTCGGGTACCCACCTAACAACTGGATATGAATTAATTTATCTCTATTCAGCAGCACATTCGTAGATGAGATGGGACAAGATTTTGTGGCTAAGGCAAAGGATTAGTGAAAAAGAAATATTGTGGTGATTAGGAGTACCAGGAAGAGAATTAATCTCATCAATTCTGAAATCTGCTATTGATCAACAAACTGCCTCCCAGCCTCAGTTTGAAGCTGTATAAAAAGAAAGCTTCGGATCTGATGATACAGATGTTTTGAGTTGCTGTGGTTTTGCTAGTACATTTGTCAGGACTCCTAACTTTGTGTTCATTTTGAAAATTTAAAGTATAGTACTAAAACCAACAAAAACAATTGTTCTTGAGCATTTACTGTGTCCAAAATGTATTCCTGTAACTTTATGGAAACACCATAAAGTAGATAACTATTATTATTTCTGTAATAATAGTCCAGAGAACTTCAGGGAGATTAGATAACCATAGTTAGTAAGTGGCAAAGCTGGGATTTGAGCTGTTAATCAGCAACTTAAAACACATAAAAGGCAAAAATGGAACAAAAACCTTTTAAAGTGTAACATCTTTGTTTTTTTTTTTTTGGTTTTTTTTTTGTGTATGTCTTCTTTTATGGCAGGGTCTCGCTATGCAGTTCAGGCTGGCCTGGAGCTCACTTTGTAGCCCAGGCTGGCCTCAAACTCGTAACAATCCTCCTGCCTCAGCCTCCCGAGTGCTGGGATTACAGGTGTGCACCACCACACCCGGCTAATGTCTTGTTAATTATGAAAACATAGTATTTTTGATTGATTGATAGATGGAATGAGATTTTAACATACTCTCTTAGTTCCTCTGTGAGTAGTTTTGATTTTTTTTTTAACTTTAGTAGGTTTTGTCTGATAGCTCATCAACAATATTTCCTGACATGCTCCTTCAGTGGGAAGATCCCTTGCTAGCCAGACTTGGCTCTCCTAGTAATCACAGACATTGTCTTGAGAGGCCCTGGGGAAGCTTCCATTACAGAGTAGAGGCCGTTTGGGCAGGATGTACCTTCATTGCTGGTTTGCTCTTTTGAAAGGATAATCAAAGACCAGCACAAAAGAGGACATTTCTGGGGTCCAAGACAGATATAGGAAGGGTGGCAAGTGAGAAAATTAATTGAGATACAGTTGGAAGCCATAAAGTAGAAATGTATAACAGCTACCAAGTTAGAACAGCTGAGAGGAAGAGGGGAATATGCATAAAATAGTTAGAACTTAAGAGATGGAGAGTTTATTGTACGTTTATTTTGCAGTATAGTACTATGGATTAATCCTAGGGTCTCACAATACTAGGCAAGTGCCCTACCACTCTACCCAGCCTAGGCTGACCTTGAGCTGGAAATTCTTCTACCTCAGCTTCCTGAGTAGCTAGGGTTATAGACACATGCAACTGTGCCCTCCTGATTACACATTTCAACTAATCAACACGTTGGGGCTCTCTCCTCTTAGCGAAAATCAAGTCTAGTCAAAGGCCTCTTCATTATATCTTATATAAAGAAAGTTAGGTAGAAAATGTAAGGTGACTTTTTTTAAATTAGTAAAACCAGAGCACAGATTCCTTGGATGCAAAATCTTTATATCCATGACATATGCTGAGCAATAGTGTCTGGTCTGTAGATTTGATAGTGGAAAGATACTACAGCAGCTACACCAAGCTATGAGGTTATCTGAGGCTGTGTGTGTGTGTGTGTGTGTATAAGCCTGTGTCTTGGAGGTGGGCCATTCTATCATTTAGATCTAATATGTCCCCCTAAATTTCAGAATGGGGCCAGGTTGGATGGGGCGGGTCAATGGTGGTGTGACTTGGAAGCATATATTACTCTCAAACTTGGCTTCTGCCTTCATTCTCTGCTTCCTGGCTTCCTGAACAGTTTTTCTCCACTATGCCCTCCTACCATACCGTTTCTGCCTTGGAGCCAGCTGGCCATGGACTGAACTGTGTACCAGAGGAACTTTCCTCCTTTAACTTGTGGGCGTTGAGTTTTTTTTGTCCCAGTGAAGGGCTTGTGATTAAGACAGACCATATACATCTTATTTCAATTCTAGTCACTTGCACATAGGAAGATAGGACTGTTAATCTCAAACTTCATGTTTAAATATTCATTTTAGGTTTAGTAACAATGTCTCTTTACAGGAGAGGAAACCATGTCATTATGCCATTTATATAAATATAAGATTACCTCATTCCTTGCTGCTTTCTAATTAAGAAGGTTCTTTGCAGTCCTCTTTGATTCTGAGAGAATATAAGTACTTCTTCCCCCTGTGGAAATGATACACATAGTCATTCAATATTAATGTCTTTCTTAAGTTATCGTTACCTGATGCTCTATGTTTTCACCAAAATTAAGTTTGCTAAGTGATAATGATGAATTCAGCACACAGAAAACATCAGCAGTGTTCCAAGGCATAAAATTGAAAATATTATGGTCCCACATGCTTGCTGGAAGGAAAGTAGGAATGGAGATGACTTTAAGGAGTAAGAAAGTTGTAGTTACCAAAATGTGTCCTTCCCACAAACCATGGAAACACTGTTGGAAGGACCCATTTGTGCTTATAGTTTTTACATCTAGGTTTATTTCACACCATGTCTTCTAAATGGTGTCCTTCTAACTATTCTAATAACTCTCAAAAGCTCACTGGAAAAGATTATGTAACTTCCAGGTAGCTTGCTTCAGTGTTTATAACTTCCTTCTTAACAGGAGCTGTAATTTAAATTCACCTTAAGTGCTTGATTCTGCAATTTAAATTCTTGTCCTTAGTATTAGCACGGTCTGTATGTCTTACCTTCATTATCATAATCTCTGTCTCTCTCTCTCATACATTTATATCAAAAATATACATTTATATAGGTATTTGTTTATAATACCCTGTTCCTTTAATATTTAGAATTAATACCTAGATTTGTAACTTTTTTTTATAATTTTCATTGTTTTCTTTATTTGGTTCTAATTTTCCGTGTGCTATTCAAGTCCTTGCACTGAAAGTCAACAGATTATTCTGAGAGAATAATGGTTATAATTGTTGGATCACTATGGATACACTTTTGTATTTGTGCCGCAGTATTGTGTAACCTGGAGGAGGTTACTTTGCTTTTCTGTGTCTCTGTCTTTGGGACCCTGCTCTAAGTCTTACTGTAAGATTAAAAGTCTGTAGCTTTTCCAACTATGTGTAACCCTCACGGGTGCCTCTTGTCTTTCTGTTCTGGTGAGCGCGTCAATTTATACTTTATTTTAGATGTGATTCTCTTGGGTTTTAACAAATGTGTGTTATGTTTAGATTTTCTGGCTTTTATATTTGTAAAACATATCAATGTATAAGAGAAAAATAAAGACACCAACCAGAAAATAGCTGACATGTTGTTTATGGAAGAACTCTCAGCCCGCTCTGGATGAAGCAAAGCAGAAGGACTCTCAGCCTTCACTGAGGAAAACTTGTGGATTCTGGAACCTGGAATTGAAATGATAGTTTGTGTTCTTTTCTCATCCTTTCCTCCCCTTCCATAAGGCCATCTCAGGCTGTGTTCTTGAGCAAGTCTTAAACCATTTCACCCCTGATTCGGAATTCTCCTCTGTAGACCAGTAAAGGAGGTGAGAAAATGCTGAACTCCAAGAGCAAGAATGATTCTGAACTTTTGCTTGTTGCTTGATGCTGGTCCGTTGAATGTGTTCCCTTTCCACTCTTACCTGATCTTTGAGGTCTTCAGATTTTTATTCCTTGAACTTCCTATGAATAGAAGGAGTTGGTTAATGTTACTGAAATGTAACTATGTGATTTTCACTGTTCTGAAATGGACTTGGAGCATCAAGTTCACTACCCACCACTCTTCACCCAATATTCACTTTAATCTCGGATTTTCTCCCCATGTCCTGGCCTTACTGTGCAGATTTAGGAAGGAGGAGGGCAGCCATATAAGCAAGCCCTGAAGGGATACATTTTGTGGCATCCCTCAGAGGGAGGCACGAAGGCAGAGGTGGTTACTGAGTGATCAACCCACCACTAGAGCCAGGGACTTTCACTAAGGCCGTGGTACAGTTCCCCACTGGAGCAGACTGGAAATGTTACCTTCTCTTTACTCCAACTTTTCTCTTTAAGTTTTCTTAGACTGTCACAACTTTTGCTGAAGAGCCTGTTCCTACATATCAAATAAACAAGAAATGACATAAAGCAACCAAGTAATAAAGGCTTTCTGCCCTGACCTCATCCAGACCATCATCCACCCACCTTGATTGTCAACCCCCATATATTTCCTTCCTGCCTGGGAGGATGCGGAGAGAAGGTACCGGCTAGAAAAAACAGCATAAATACTGTTAAAAATTCATATGCAAACATTTTATACCATATTTCCTACTAACTACTCATTATAGAGAGTTCAGCTTTATAAAATGGTTAAGAAGTACTCAGACATTTATTGCTAAAGAGTTTTATTATGACAACGTTACACTGATTGTGTTTTATATATGTATGTATATTTTAAAAAGCATAATACATAAAGCCAAAGAATGGTTAAATTTTTTTTTCTGTTTCAAAAAAACTTTTATTTTTTTTTTTTTGTGAAAAAACAATGCAGACACATTTTACACAGCAAATGAATTTTTAGATCACCCTAAGGAGCAATTGAAAAAAATTTAAAAGCACATTTAATTTCAGTTGTTCCCTAATACAATCTTTATTACTATGACGTGGCTTCCTCCGGACTTTAATAATGTAGACAAATTCTTGTTTCATAAATTGATTTTCAGAGGCAAAGCTAAAATGCGTTGAGGATCCTAAATACACTTTCGAATTTTAAATAAAGGCTATTATGATTATTAACCCTAATGCGTAGACAGAGGTGCAAATCAGTGTGTGTGCTCTAGACCCCAGAGCTGGCTTTCTACTGAGAAACAAGAAACAGCGTTGGCAACAACAGTTACTCTGCGGGCTGCTCCACAGGGTCTGGCTCCTTTCACCCTACGGGGCACACTGAAAACTTGTGGTAGCAGAAGCAGCCTCATCGGGAGGCTGAGGCCAACAGGGCTTACGGGGCTGGCCTGGCATGTGCATTCTGGGTAGTTGTGGTGTGAGGGAAGCCATATTTAGGCAGCTGATTACTCCCTCAGACTTATGCCTCTCTAGGTTAGAAACATAAACACTTGATTAGTTTGTAGTCTATCTGGAAAAAAAATTTTTTTTTCTTTTTTCGGTCTTTTTGAGACAGGGTTTCACTACGCTGTTCAGGCTGGTCTTGAACTCACTTTGTAGCCCAGACTGGCCTTGAACTCTCAGCAATCCTCCTGCCTCAGCCTCCTGAGTGCTGGGATTACAGGTGTGTGTGTCCACACCCAGTTCAGTTTTATTATGGCAAAAAAAAATTTAAAACTTTGTATTTGATATACCATTAGAAATAATGGGACTAAACAATGACTTAGTAAAGACTCAGCTAAGACAGTAATGTCAGGGAGCAGGTGAGGTAGGGCATTCTCTGTGGACTAAAGAGTGAACATCTTGCATGACCAGAAATGACTTGAATAGCTGCATTACCATTAGGGTAACATGCACAAAATATCTCTAAACTTTCACTAATCTAACATTGCTACTTTCAAGCATTGAATGGCTGTAGCTGTTTAATTTAGAAGCAAAGACTGAAAAAAGTTTACACATAATCACATTTCTGTATCCTTTTTGATGTGAAAATCACTTCCCCACTATTTTCCCAACATGCTGCTTATAATACATATTTACAAATTTCACCATGTGTTATCCTAGTCTGTAGTTCCTTTTGCTTATAAGAAAAGCTGTATTTTGTCCCAGAAAGTCTGTAGATATTAATAAACTTGACTGCATGTTATATGTGATTTATATCACGCACTAACACTTACAAAGTAAGGAGCTACTTTTACAAAGACTAACACAGGATTTGCTACTGAGATACACCTAGCAGAGAGTTCAATGTCTTTTCATGGGATAGATCCTTTAGAAGATTAAAAATGCACATATTATTTATACCATGGCAAGCTTTCATAAATGTCCCGTAATATTTCTATTTCATAACTGTCTTCTTCTGAGCATAGTTATAGCAAGTTGGATGCACAAGCTCATAGCCCTTACCTTGAGAAAAGAGGCACCATGGTCCCCCTACACCAAGAGGACGGGAAAAAGCAACTTTTGCCCACGCAGTTCAAAATGTGTTAACAAATATTTTGTGATTCTTATGTCATTGTTAATGGTATTCTCATATCAATTTTAAGGATATGAGAAAAGGTGATTTAAACAGTAACTAGAATTTTGTGCTAGAATTCAGTGCTTCATCACTGAACCACGTTGCATTTTAAAGGGATGAACACTTTCCTTTGGCACTGAAAATATAGAAGTTTAAAAATGTTTAGAAAATTTTCCCACACAGTATGATCATAAAATTAAAAAAAATGACTGCAATTTAAATATGCTAGAGAATGGAGAGTGAGAACATTTCCAGGTTTGTGGTATGAACCAGAATATTTAAATTGTCATCATGGTTCGTTTATGAGAATATCTCATAAATGTCACAATAGTCCAATCCCGTGAGCTTTGCTGTGTTATTTTAAATAATTTGGTCCAACTGTGTTGGCCAGTATGTTATTTTTGTTCATTCTGGTCACTGACGGGAACAGGGATCTTCGCTACAAAGCATACTGCATGACCCTCGTGGGTCTGTGGAACCAGGGATGCTGGAATGGGGACAAATCACCCTTTCTGTCACTGTTACATTTTGTGTGAGAAGTGGATCAAAGACTGCAGTGGTAGGTGGCACAAAGGAACTAGAGGCTGAGTAAGTCTCCGTTACCAAATAGTTACCATGCTGCAGAGGGTCGGGGATGGGAATGGCTGGTTGCAGGGACCCATAGGTTGACAAAGCGTGGGCTTCTTGACTGCCCCACACAGTCTGGTACCTCTCAAGTCCTGACTGCTGGGCTTCTACAGGTCGGCCACTGAGGTCAGCCCCAGTACCACTGTATTGAGGGGGTGGCTGAGCTTGTTTGGCTTCCTCATCAATGCCAAGGCTTATCTCTGCAAGTTTTTTAAATTTAGGGCCAAGTGAGTCCAAGAAGCTGTCATCCAGGTCATCAGCAATAAAACTGCAGCAACCCAGGGAGGAGCCAGGAGCATCATCTGTGCCTTCATTATCATAGATCAGCAAGCAATCATTCGCTTCTTGGACTCCCTCTTCCTCTGCACAGGCAAAGGCTTTCTAAAAATGGAGAGACAGGAGTAAAAAACAAATTTTAAGAAAGATTGCTGGACAATTTAATACTGTTCATAGTACTCAAGGTTTCATTATGAGTGGCCAAATTAGGTAATTCATAGAGGTAAAGAAATACTCTTTATACTAACAATCTAACTAACAGTTTCATTCTAAAAATTATCTTGGATCTGGACAATGGTGTGGTTGAATCAAAATTGAGGGTAACCCTGGCCTATGCCTTAGCTCTTAGTTTTACAGGGATTTGGGCCTACATAGCAAATGGGCATGATGCTGGGCTAAATGTGAAGTTCTCCATGTGTACGTGTGAGAATATGTTTTTCTGTTGGGGCTAGGAGTGGGGAAGGTCTCCCACTGTGCAGGGTCAGAGACAATACTCACTCTGTCAAGAGGCTTTGCATAGATTCTACAATCCTTGTGGGACCCTGACCCATAACTAGGGCTCACACTGCACCTTGAAGCATCCTGTGTCCTCAAGTTCGATTAGCACCCTTGTACCAATCTTGCCCAAAGTACAGTCTCAGCCTTCCTCTGCTCAGGCACTAACTCCACTGAGGCAGGGCATTAGGGCATGGCAGAGTGGCTGGGGAAGTAGGCATGACGTGTTAATTACAAAATCCCAGGACACCCGGGCAGAACCATTCCCAAAGCCCTGCACATGGACTTCTTGGGAGAACTCAAACAGGTTTTCTATAGGACAGCCTAGACCTGCTGTCAGCCTGAGGAGGGAAAATACAATAAGACAGTGGACATGGAGATTTTTGCTACTGTATTCTTTCAGGGCAGCCTCCTGTCATCCTCTAGAGTGTACTTATTTTCCTACTTTAACTTGGCCCAAAATTGTTCTTCAGGCCCTATTGTCTTGACCAATTCTTTGTTCAGGACAGAAGAAATCTAGAAACTACCTCCAGAAGGAACCTCTGTCACACCAAGACCGGGTAACATAGCCCTGACACCTGCCAGGTCTCAAAACTCTAGATGAGGTCCTTCTTAATATACGTTTTATTTCACTTATCTTTAGTCATCAAATCAGAGGCAAACAGCTTGCCTCTCACGGTCTTCTCTTATGTGGCACCCTTTTGCCTTTTATGTTCCATCTCTTGACACTTCATTCCACTCATCACTGATCTATCCCATCCCCTTTTCCCCTTTATTTTTGGGTCATTAATTCAGTGATCCTTGAATTTTTTGGTCATGGACTCCTTTGAAAATGCAAAGAATTTCTCTAGGTAAATACACGCATGTGGGTTTTGACATGCTTTATGGTGCAGAAAATACAAAACAATTGTTTTCTCTTATTAAAGAGGCTACTGTGCATTGCATTTCAAAATACAAAAGATTTTGTCCTCAGTTATTTTCCTGTGAGGTTCGAATGGGTCTTGACTCTCCCAGCCCCCAGCCTGCCTGCCAGCAGCAGCACTACTCTCAGCAAGGAACTCATCAGCCAGCACAGGATGTTGTAAAGGAGATAAGATAGGGCAAGGAATTTCGCAGGTCCTGGAACATCTGGGGACATCTGGAGACACCCAAAAATTTACACCAAACTATCAAGGACTCTGCTCACTGAGGTACAAGACTGCCGGAGGACTTTGACCACAGATGTTCATTAAAATCTCCCCGCCTAACATCCCTTGTCTTCTTTCCACCCCTATGAAAGGGACACACTTCTCTTTGTTTGAGGAACGTAGCCTTATCACTCTCTGCCTGCTTGTACCCAGGCACAATAAATTCCAGGCCATGTTGCCTTTATATAAGCATGGTGGTCTCTGCTGGTCCCCCCATGTTATAATTCCCAGGTGGCAGAATGTGGGCCCAGCTTCCACCCGCTGTATTTTCTCGCTTTGAGGCTAATTCTTCCTTATACTTGAATAGTAACCCAAATTTGACAGCTACTTGAAGTCATCTCTACTATTTTGGCAAAAGGAAACCTATTTTTTATAACATTTTGATAAGTCATGAAAAATGAACCATAAAACTGCAGTATGTAATCAACAGAAAGATCTCCAATGTAAATAAGATAACAAACCCACAAAGTTTGCCACTCACTCACCTGGGAAAAGTAGGAATCTAGAAAATTCATGTTTATGGCCCCATCTGCGTAGTCCTTCAGGGTTCCCCCTGTGGAGTGCCTTGTTCTCATCGTTCCCAGTCCCAGATGCTCTGGGGGACAGGGCCCAAGTCCCGTCGCTGCTCCAAACCCTGACACAGCTCCAGATCCTGCAGCTGCTCCGCCCTTGGTGGCCAGTTCCATTCCGGAAACACCTTCCATCACTGTCCCTCCAGTGTATGTATGTGTGCAAACTTCTGAAAATAGGGGAGAAAATTCTCTCACATCTCATGCTATGCTTTATTGTCTTTCTCCCCCTGCTCTTTGATGTCTGTAGGCAGTTGCCATATAAAACAAGCATGTGGGAGAAAATGTAATTATGTGACTAGAGGTGACAGTGTGTTATGGGACAGTAACAGACAGGCTATGAGCACATGACCAAAGCTCTGAAAACACACTAATTAAAAAGGTGTCTAGAGGAAATTAATTTTCAATGTCAAAAGCCAAAAATAGAAAAGTGACAGCAGAATATTCAATATACATCCATGGAAAGCTTCTAAGGCAGGGCTTGCTTGTTCTTATGAGAAAAGAAACTGTAATTAAGCATGTTGGCTTCAGTACGGAAGCAGGAAGTGGTGGAGCACGCCTGTAATCCCAGCATTAGGATGGCTGATGCAGGAGGATTGCTATGTGTTTAAGGTCAGCCCAGAATACACAGTGAATATTCCACCAGTTATCTTTACATGATGCTTTCAAGAGCTATTGTTTCCCAGGCAGTTCTGAATATAGTTTTTGCTAGGTAACTATAACAGGAGAAGTAAATGATGGTAAGAGAAGGTGATGTAGACAGCTACACATTTGGAGAAATCTTGTATGGACTTTGAAGGCTGGTCACCTAAGGATAGCAGGCTTATTTTATGATAAGCATAAAGTTAGGAAAGTATTTTACTAGCAGGCATCAGGTCTTATTGTTTCTCTAGTTTATACTGTAGTTGTGACACTGAGGTAACGTGAATAAAGCAGTCACTTGGCAAAACTGAAGAAATAAATTCACTTATGACAACATAAGTGATCATGTCCTATTATGATTAAATATGGGAATTTGTCATTGGACTCAAATCAGGATAGTGTTAGTCCGGGGGAAAGAGGAAGTGGGACGGGACCAGGGGTATGCATGTGGGAGACTTGGACTGCAAGTGGAACCTCTCTTAATGACAGACAGAGTTGGGTGGCAGATGCAGAGATGTTTGTTACACTTGCCTTTTATTTTCTATCATGTGAAATAGTTCTTAATTTAAAAAATTAATAATTAACAGCTCGAAAGCTATACTTCATTAAAGTTTGGAAAGCGTATAACAAATCTTTAGCTATTTAAAATGATGGCATCAGTGAATAAATTAACTTACTGAGGCCAAACCTGTGTCATGGAAATGACTAGTATGCAAATACTAGGCCAGCTTTCCTCATCTTTCATAGTAACAGCTCCTAGCATGCACATACATATGTAAATTAAGAAAATAATTCTGAAGACTTTTAAAAATATTTCTCCTTTAATCCACCATTGCTTTCACAAATAAATTTAATCCACCATTGCTTTAAATCCACTATTGCATTCAAAAATAAATTTAATGTTTCTCCTTTAATCCACCATTGCTTTCAAAAATAAATATAATGTTTACTCACCGGAACTTTCCACAATATCTGCTCCATTAGTTGTTATAGGTGGCACACAAATATTTGTGATTTCCTGCAAATCATATTCAAAAAATAAAAACACTTATAAGCGAATCAGATTTCAGAGCAATCTAGATGAACTGTGGTCCATGTGCAAATGATAACATTGCAATAAGCCCAAATTCATGCAAAGGTCACTTTTCTGAGGAGTTGGTATGGGAAGAGTTAAAACCTTAAAAGATCACAACCACTACTGCACTGCAGCTCTGATTCTCAGCTGCAGGTTGGTAAGTTTGTTTATTGGTACCCCTTTACCTCTTCTCCTGTCTCAGTAGAAATAAAATTTATTCTACGATTGCAATAATATTTCACAAACAGAATCTTCACCTTGTCCTCAGGTGGGGCTCCTTCAATGCCCCACTGGTGAATTGTTCCTTCTGAACCATCAGGAACTGGGATAAAACCACCTGCCACTCCCCCAGCGGGACCCCTTTGGCAGTCACAGGTGAGCAGTAGGAGAGGGACCACTGGGAAAAAATCAAGGCAAAATATCAGAATATTTTTAGCAGCTGGAAACTATTCAACAGGACAAAGGTCAGAGCCATTACAAAAACCATTTAAAATACTTAAAGAAAAATTCTAATGTAAAGCAAAATTAATTTCTACGTACAACATTGGGCATGTTATATAATCTTTCTTTTGTTCAGTGAACTCATCCATTAATTGGGAGAATAAATCATGTTTTCATAGACTGCCATAGTATCAGTAAATGAGCTGATTTATGAAACGGGCAGTAGTGAACACGATGAAGATTTGCTAGTATTGTTAGAATAAGCAACATTAGTTATGTAAGTCAGGTGAGTCCTGCGTAAAGTATAAAAAAATTAGACTAAGTGCATTCATTATATTGAAATAGATTTGACATAATGAATGTAGAATCTCAAAATTTAATATAATGCTCATATAAATACTTTATTGCCATGTTCAATTCTGTGATTTTATTACATGAATGGGAAAGATCGTTTGGAAGGGTGATGAATGCAAACCTGAGTGGTCAGTATTTTTAGACGAGCATAATTTTCAGAAATCTTATCTATTATCATAAGAGCAAATGACACAGGTATTTATTTGGTTTATACACCAGAAAGTTTTTCAAAGTGTTGAGTGTATTTTTAGTCTAAAAATACATTTTGTATGGGTCACAAAATTCAAAACACAGCATTCTGCAAATGGTAAGATCACATGAAGGAAATATTATTGTGGGATCACCCAGTATATTTGCTTTGGCCGCCACTCAGAATCACATTCCCATATGTGCAATGGTTTGTAGGACATACCATACACTTCACAATTAAATATTTCAATATCAAACTCATCACTGCCACTTTATACATCTGTGTCTCATCTATTTTCAGTTTCATCTTAAAGCTTCAGCAACCACTGGCTCTCAAACGTGACTCCTGGGTATAATCTGGGCTTATTAGCTAATCTTCCTGTTCATGACTGTCTTAGTCTATTCAAGCTCCTATAACAAAAATACCTTAATATGGATAATTTATACATAATAGAAATTTATTGCTTACAGCTCTATAAATCAAAATGCCATCATATTTGTTGCCTGCTGATGTGAGGGCCATTCCGCATACATGACCCTTTTTATGTATCCTCGCATTGGCAAAAGGGGGCATGAGGCTCCCTCAAACATCTTTATGAGGGCATTGGATCCATTCAGAGTGTGTACCTCAGGATTGAGTCACCTTCCAAGAGCACTTCTCTCTGATAACTTTGCAGTGGCAATTGGGTTTCACCACGTGGGTTGGGGAAACATGTTCAGACTGTGGCGCTTACCCCCCACCCCAATCTTATTGAAGTGCTACGGTAATGTTTTACACACTTATACTTTCTAGTCTTGTGGGATAGCTCTAAGTGGGTCTCTACCATCTCAACTATTGCAGTAACCTCCCAAGTGTTCTTCCCTTTGTAATTTACAGCCCATGATGCTACCAGGGCTATCTTTCTAAAATACAAAAATTTTTATATTTATAGATCATGGTAGTGTTTTTATTCATATACTTTATCAATTCTCCCTTTTAACAACTTAAAGTACAGACACTATGGCATGTGTGTGTAAGCCCTCTCGAATTAGTTCCAAAGAGAGAAATATGGCACGTGTGTGGGAAACCACTCTCTATAGCTATAACAATTTATTTCTCTTTTTCTAAAAAGCAGCCCAAGAAAATATGGCAAAACATTAATATTTGTTAAGTCTGAGTGATGGTTATACATATGCTTGTGATGTAATATTCTATATTTTTTGGTGGTTTTAAAATATTTTATAAGATTAAAAGAAATTTAAAGTAGTTGTAATAGAATGTATCATGAAAATTTGTTTTAACTTTAAAAGTCTGTTTCTATAATATGAGGAGGTAATTGTGAACTTGTCAAGGATTTCTGTTTATATAAGAATTTATCACTAAATTTTTTAAAAAATTGGAGCCTCTTATATTCAATATACTATTTAATTAACAGGATTTTGATTCAAATGCAATTTTCCAGAATGAAATAAATTTTATTGAAAAAAGGATACGTGTGTAGTTTTGCTAAGTGTGTTCAATAAGAAACCTTATTAAGTGTGAAAGTCTTAAAAGGAATGGGTGTGCAGGTGGGTAGGGTCTTTTCTCAGGAAATGCACAAAATAGCTTCTAGGAGTCTATGTTCTATTAATGCACAATGTAGCTGGAAGCCTATGATATCCTACATCATCTCCTGAGGTTATTTGACCATGGCTCTCTTTTTATTTTAGAATTTCATGAGACTGGAATAAGTACATGTGCTGCTAAAGCAAGCACATGAGACTAGAACATTGAGAAGATATCTCAGACAGAACCACACATGCACCGAGGATGTAGCTCAGTGGTGGAACACTTGCCTAGCATGTGCAAGGCCCTGAGCTTGATCCCTAGCACTGAAAAATTAAAATACAAGTGTCACACTAATGGATAAAGCCACCATTCTGAGCATGAACATTACTGGCAGTATGTGAAGAGCTGTCACGATTTCTTTTGCTCCCTTTCGATCCACTTGTACTGTTCTAAATATCTGCATATAGAACTGGTTTTGCTATATTCGTAGAGATTAGTAGCAATTTACAAACAAGTTCAACATTTCAGATTCTTTCTGTTTTTTTTCTTCTGGTACCAGGAAGCGAACTCACGACCTTGCGCTTGCCGGGCAGGCGCTGTGCCGCTGGGTTAAATTCCCAGCCCCTCAGATTCTTTCTGAAAAATGCCATTTCCCCCTAGCTTTGCCTACAGAACAATCAGAGTGGCTCCTCCCGCATTGCACAGGTGAGCACGGGCAGCGTAAAGGCCATTATAGATGGTATCACACCGTGGACACGGGGTGACAGGTTGGTGTACTCACATAGCAGCAGCAAGAGCCCGAGGAGGAGCAAGCCGATGGCGTTCGGCCCCATCCTTGAGAGCTGCTTCCGGGGCTCAATATGAGGATCATTCTCTGAAGTTCTGCAGGAGCCCCTGTCGTTACACTGGCAGACCGTCAGAGTTAACATCTCCGATGATTCGCACTGCCTGTCCTGGTTGCCCGTGACTACGAGGGGGACTTGGTACACGCCGGGAGATATCTGCTGCTGAGCTCTTACCAGTGCAGAGGTAGCTGTAGAGAAAAATTATACAAATAAACACAAGGACAAGGAGTCTTCTGCTCTAAAACTAATTATTTTTTATAACAAAGCTGGAATGGCCTTCAAGATCATAGTCAAACAGCTCGGCAGATATGGCTTGAGCAGTGACGAGGGCTGTAAGAGGTTCATTTGGGGAATCTGTCTACACCGTCCTTGTCTTCTATGACATAGAGAAGCCCAGCATTCACTGTCTAGAAGACTCAAGTCCTGCCAAAGAGGATGCAGTAGGTAGCACGGAGACACCAGGACCCCCGGTCCTGGGCTTTACCCCTCACCTGGGTGTCTGAATCAACTTTCAAACACATGTTTCCCTCTGAGGGTTTACTTGCCCGGGATTCTATGGTCTTGTGTCTGACTTAACGAGACCAAGTTTTAGCTGTGGCTTCTGCTACCTCAGCAGCTCCTCTTGGTTCCCATCCCATGAGCTCAAGGCCTGTTGGGTAAGGTTCCCAGTGGTGCGGGCTGTTCCCCTTCTGACTCCTCAGCATCAATTGTTCCTTCTTCTCCACTGCTATGTTGCCCCTTTCTAAGTTGGGTCCTGCACAGTGTTGTGCTGTTTGAATCATTCATGATCCCATCATAGCCCTCGACATTGCCTTGTCCGCCCAGTTCAACCTGTGTGGGACTGGGGTGAATTCCGTGCTGGCCCTCTCTGGTCTTTGTTCAGCAGCCCTCTCATTAGCCATGCATCTGGTAAATTCCTTTGGAGCCAAGCACTACATGAACAGTACGGAGCTAGATCCTTAAGTAGGATCAGAAGGGACCAAAGGCAGGAGGCTCGGGACAAAATCTCTGGAGACTGACAATGGCCAATACCTATGCCTGGAAGTTTCCATGGAGCACATCCACAAGAGGAAGCAAGATGGGTACACGGGAGAGCTAGGGGAAATGAATGAGTTCACAAAGGCTCTGAAGCAGTCCGATGGTCACTATAAAACCCAGGAAGGGAGAAGACTTAGTAAGTCTAACTGCAATTTCTATGAGACTTCTAGAAACCATACAGATGTGAAATGAGCATGATAAAGGTCAGGGGAAAAGGATTAGATCTCTCCCATTGGCTAATGGGTTTAGAAATTCCAGTCCACCATGCTGTCATGGTTCCCTACTAGCGACAGACGGGTGTCCCCTCCTGTGATGCCCACGCTCCAGGGCTTAGTGCTGCCTGTCCACAGCTTCCTTTGTGAGGAAAACCTCACGTACCTAGACATCTAGACAGCTCTGTGATAAAATGGATGCCTCACTCTTAATCTTTTTTCTACTCAGGAAGTAGAAATACACATATTAACAATGCAAAAATTATTATATGAAAACCAGAAAATATTACATGGTACTAACATCATATCTTGTCATCCCTTTCCTGAAGAGAAGAGGAATTCACAAGGCTAGGATCGCATCTTTATTCCAAAGAGTTTTTTCACTTATTCTTGGAAAGGGCCCCCTCTGAAATGAGTTCGTATTCTTCTGGAAATAGAAAGAAGTGGCAGCTTCCATGTGTGGAAGCGATGTCTCTCCTACTCACCGTTGAGGCTTGTGATTCTCCAGACAACAGGCAGCTTCACAGGCTGTTCCTCCACGGAAAATGTGTAGGGACCAGCATACCTGTCCCTCTCCAGGGTTCTAGCTGACACAACCACTGAGGGTGATGAAGTGCAGATTTCGTCTTTTTCCAGGATGACTGGCGGACAGTTTTCATTAATCTCAGGTACTTCAACACGGATGGTGCCGGTGGCAGTTTTACCTGTGTTTTCTGTAAGCATAAAATTTTAGAGTTTAACAAGTATATGGAATAAAGTTGTAACAACAACAACAACGAAAATAATCTCTTAAATTTCTCTTTCTTGAACCACGTTAGTGTGTCTTTTAAAGAGAAATTTCTTATGAATAACATTATCTCCTAATTTAATATCAAGACTTGACTATCAAGTCTTGAAATTAAGACTTGCAAGGTGATAAATTCACTGGTTACAAATAAAATCAACACAAATCCACAATGGCTTTTTTCTTTTTGGTCTTTTTGAGGTAGGGTCTCTATATACAGTTCAGGTTGGCCTTGAGCTCACTTTGTAGTCCAGGCTGGCCTTGAACTTGCAACAATCCTCCTGTCTCAGCCTCCTTAGTGCTGGGATTGTCGGCGTGTGCCACCATACCTGGCACCGTAATGGCTTTTGAAGCAGTATTAGTTTCATTTGTAATCAGCATGTGAAAAATCTTTGTTTCTAAAGACTGGGTCAAAGTATTTGGGATAAACAATTTTTAATTTCTTTTTATTACCTAACATATAAATATTTGGGAAAATTTAAAATGTTGACAGTCAAAAACAATAAAATAAAAATCTCTTGTTGGTAATATTGAGTCATTTCTTTGTTACCCTTAGGGCTTTCTGTAGTTTTCCCAAATAGGAATATTTTTGGTTTATAATTTTGGTTCTTCTTTGGTGTTTGTTTATTGCATTGATCATAAATTAATTTTTTTTTGATCATAAATTAATTTTATACTTGGGGAAACATACACACTCAATAAATTGTACTTTGAAACATTCTAGATAAAGAAATTTTATTGTTCATATACATACTCAATAAATCAAACTTTAAAACATTCTAGATTCAAGGCATAAGTATAGCAGGTAGTTCATGAAGGCGCTTCACATTTTAATTGAGCTTCCCTGATAGGCATTGTCTGGTACTGAGCAACATATCCAGATCCTCTTATTTTTTTTATTTTAAGACAAGGCTTGCTAAATTGTCCAGATAGGACCTGAACTTGCAATCTTCCTACCTCAGCCTGCCACAGTGCTAGGATTAAAAGTATATGCCACTGCACAGGTTCTGCTGGACTGTACACTGATCCTCTCAAATCCAGAAATGTCTGAAGATCAAAAAATCTTCCCTTGGTCATAATAAACAATAGGGACCAAAGAGAATTCACTGGTACTACAAATTCCACCGAGAAATTAGACTTCTCATAGGTTCTGTGGCCGCAGATTTGAGGCCTTGAATCCCCTTAGACAATGGTCTTTAGAGACAAAGGAAATATGTGGAATAATCAGAATCCTCTACTTATGAAGCAATACTAACTGGAGTAACACTTCTGTAAAAGCCATTGAAATAGTTTTCTTACCGTCTATGGCCAGAACCTCAGCTGTGAGTGTCTTGTTAACTATGAAAGTAGAATCCCGGGGGATATTCTTGACAAATTTGATTTGAGCAGTTTTTGGATCAATAATTAGCAAACCACCATCATTACGGCCCATGACATATCTGTTTTATAACAGAAAAAATAATAGTTTTCTTTCAATATAGAATATTGCTTACTTAATAAAAATGAATCATTTCATATTTAACATATTTATACTTGAAATATGACCTTGAAATAAGAGCTTATAAAAGATGTCAGAAAATTACCATGAAATGGATGAGCCATTTTGTTATCTTTAAATTTGTATTATCCTAGTTATTCAATTTTCCTCTCTATAAAAAAGTAAAATGCTTATATTCTTGGTCTTCGTAAGATAGCCACTAGTTTGCACAGTGCTCTTAAATTTTAGGAATCTATTATCTATCTGTCTATCTATCAATCATGTATCTATGTATCTATCTACCTGTCATCTTTCTATGTTCCTTGGATTTGTGTGTAATAATGTTTTACCTGATGGAAACATGGTCTTCTGATAAACTTTAAATTTTTGTAAGACTCAGCTAGCTGGAGGTTTCTGAAAAGTGTTTCCTGATCACACTGGACAACCTGAGGCATTTTTTTTTAAGTTTCCACTTTAACTTATGTTAACTTTCCTCATAGCATGATGTATTCTTTATTATTATTTTTTTTTGGGGGGGGGATTTTTGAGACAAGGTCTCTCTATGCAGTTCAGGCTGGTCTTGAACTCGGTTTGTAGCCCAGGCTGGCTTCAAACTTGCAATGATCCTCCTGCCTCAGCCTCCCGAGTGCTGGGATTATGGATGTGTGCCACCATGCCCGGAGCATAATGTATTCTAATGATTTATCTCCATGTTCCTTTTGGAGTTATTCAGCTCATATCTTTGTCACCTTTATTTCTCTACTGTTGGCATATGTTTGTCTATGCATTGTGCTGTAATAAATTACAGATCCAAACTAAGCGAAGGAATAATGCGATGCCATAAAAATAGTCATACCTGACAGACGAGGCAGCCTTGCCAGTGTCCTCATCGATGGCTTCATATGTTCCCACCACATAATTAATCAATTTCCTACTACTTATACCTTTTTTCACAGAGAACGTCTTGGCAGTAGGACGGAAGGAAATCCCTTCTCTTACATCAGTTATCTCAATTGTGACCGGGGTCGACTGAACTCGATACTGAGAGACTATCGACTGGTGAAATGCAGCTTTGTTTTTGACAGCAACACTAAATCGCACACTTTGGACTTGTTCAAAATCTAGAGGCTGGAGGCAAAATGGAAAGAAAGGAAGCGTTACAGAGACACAACCTGGCTGCTGTAGTAGGAAGGTCTGCCTAGGTGCTGTGGGTGGGTCCTTTTATTTCCACATGGCAGTGCACTTTCAGAAGTCATTGTAGCACCTCATCTTGGTAACTGGTGTTCGCAAAGCGGGGTGCCTGCTTTGGGGACTGACGCAGCATCATTACAATCTCTTTGGGCTGCATGCGCAGGGGAAAGAATCCTGAATTTGTCCTGATAATGTGGTTTGGATCTTGTTTCTACCACCTTTTAAGAAATTTGTGCCTTAGGGCATGATGTTCAACTTTTTTGATTCTCAGTTTTTCACTTCTGAAGCAAACCTTACCTCCCCAGGCTGTTGTGGGGATAGAACACATTAAGGCCCACAAAACGTTCCCGTAAAGGGCACCTGTGGTCAGTCACAGAGTCCTCAGGAGACCCAGGTGCAAGGATGTCTTTCCTGACCTCCAAGCTCCTCAGCATGAAGGGAATCTGTCTTCACAGCCTGGGCTGTCACCACGGCCTCTGTGTAGCAGCGAGTGGGTGTCCCACCAACCCTTCCTAGGACTGTTCTCAGATGGCCTTGCATGGTACATACGTTTCACACTCTTAAAAAGTGACCCAAAATGAGGCCTGAGAAAGCCCAGAATAACCTTGTTCATTCAGTAGTCTTTTTTTTCCTCTAAAGATGATAAGGAAATGCTAATTTTGGTTGCATTTGCTTATCACTAAAAATAAAATTGAGGCAAGAGGCATGGATTTGTTTTAACTTTGCAAGACTAGCTTTCTGTGCTCAGCATTTCCTGGGGGAAGAGAATGATGTGTGAACTGTGTATTACAATACAGCGGGTAAGAGAGGATGGGACTATGGAGAGTTTGAGAGAGTTCTGGGAAGTCTGGGTCTGAGCAGGGTGTCGCAGGAGACTGAGAAGTCACCTGGGCAGAGGTGAAAGCGCTTCCAATGCCAGCCTTGCAGAAGGTGAGAGGAAGTAAGCTAGCTGAAGACAGGGCAGAGCATCTTACACAATGGTGCCCTTTATCTTGAAAGGCCGCAGTTGGTTACCGGTTAGTCACTAGAGGGGACTTTATGACCCTCTGCTGCCTGGGCAATGAGTTACCCATAGTGCCATTGAGCTACTGGTTCCTACATTCTTGCTGTCTAGGAAAAGTTGGCTTCGATAGGATTGAGGGACAATTTTACAGCCAGGTTCTAAAGAGAACAGTAAGTGGTACAAATTGTTTCTGGAGAAAAATGTGGTGGACTGGCGGTAGTGTAAGGAGTGAAGTCAAGCAGAGATGGGAGGCGGGCACAGCCACTCAGAAGCCTGCAGTTGTCCAGGATGGAGGAAGCAGGGATGGACTAGAGGATAGGGGGCTAGAAGGCAGAGGTGGGCATGCGTCACAGTGAGCTTCTAGGCAGAACTTGGTGACTGGCTGTGTGTTGTGAGGGAATGTCATGACTGAAAGATACCATCCAGGACATGGGGACATTCAGTGACCCCCAATACAAGAGATAGAAACTCTCATTTCCAAGCATTGCTGGGAGTTCAGAGCAAAGCTCTTTCCAGTGGGGATGGTGGTAGTACTCTCTCTAAAAAGTAGAATAAAAAGAAACCCTTCACACAGCTTTTAGAAACTCCCTTGATAAGGGAACGTTATGGGTCTGTCGTCCCACTGGACTTAAATGATGAAAGAAGTTTCCATATGGCCTAAAATCCTATGTTAAGAAATGTCACCAGATAGTCGATATTCCTTCTGGGCTGTACCATATCCAGGCAGAAATATCTGCACAGTATTTTGGACAGGGAGTCTGTCATAGTGAAACATGCGAAAGGGGACCTTTATTTTTTATCTTACAGATTTTGTTCATACATTCCCAAGTTCTAGGAGGAGTTGTGTTTCTTTTTTTTTCCTCTGATGATATAGCTATCTCACCTAAAACAGGCTCACAAGTTCACAAGCCATAATTCCATGCATTCTCCTCTCTTTCTAGCTTCAATCTAAATGCACACGGCAAATATGATTAGGTCAGGACATGTGTTTAGCTTTCTTTTTTTTTTCTGGTACCAGGAATCGAACTCATGACCTCGCACTTGCCAGGCAGGCACTGTGCTGCTGAGCTAAATCCCCAGCCCCCATATTTAGCTTTCTTGTGAGGAAAGCATGCATACCCATAAACACGTGTATATGTATGTTGATTACTGGAAGTGTGTTAGCTTGGAAATAGATAAACCAACATGTTAAGAGAGGTCTTTAGGTCATGGGCTTTTGGGATCATTTAAAAAATTCTATGTGTTTTATATGTTTATAGGATGAAATGGTGTTATTATTGATAGGGTTTATTTATAGAAATGAGAGTTTGGGTTAATGTAGTTTGATTTTTAGAAGAAAACTCAAACCGTACCTTAACCACTTTCAGGATGCCTTCGTTGGTTCTTGGGTCTGTTTCTATTTCAAACCACTTCCCTTCATTTCCAGAGGTGAAGAAATACACAGCAAGCCAGTTATCTGTGTACTCTTCATCCCAGTCTGTCACTTGGAATCGAAGTAAGTCAGAACTTAAAGTATTTTCATCAATACGTGTTGAATACTAAAGAAGAGAAAAGCCAAATTTAAGATTCAATGCAAGGTTTTACCTACAGAGATTATATTTGTTTTAAATGGTATTATCATAAATTCTCAAATTATGTATTGTCTTCTTATAGGTTCCTGAATTTTTAAATTTTCTTCTTCTTTCCCTCTCTCTCTTTCTCGCTCATTTTTACTCTTGTTTTCACTGTTTCTTTCTTTTGAGACACATTTTTTTTTTTTTTTCTTTTGAGACGCCCAGATTGGTCTTAAACTCATATATAGCTCAGGCTGGCATCAAACTCACAGTCCTCCTGCCTCAGCCTCCTGAGTGAGTCCTGGGATTACAAGTGTGTGCCACTACACCTGGCCTCTGAATTCTTATATTTTAACAAAGTTTATTTTTAACAAAGAAAAGTCCAAAAAACATAAAAGCCAAAAGGAAGGCATATACTGAATTTATGTGAAAAAAATTATATATATATATTTCCTTTCAAGGAACAGTGGGTGTACCTGGGAATACTTAAGCACTGGGAAATTATCGTTGACATCTTTCACTTTAATCTCGCATTCACACTGAGCCGATAGTCCTACTCCATCTTGGTCGGCACCACTCACAACCAGACGATAGCTGCTAAATTGCTAAATTTGGAGAGAGAAATCATTATTAATCCTACAAGATATAAATGGCCTCTCCTTGCTTTCTGTGGGCAATGCAGTGTAAATACTGAAGTTCACGGTTCATGGGTTACGTGTACTGTCAGCTGCCCATAATGGAGGAGGCTTCTGTGGCTCTCAGTGACCGGGTGGACATCTTGAAGGGGCTAACATGTTTTTCTTTTTTGTAAGCGTCTGATGGCTGTACCCTTAGAGCCAAAATGGGCAGTGAGTATGGTGAGCTAATTGTCTGAGGGAAGCTTACTTGCGTACCTGCTAGTTTACTGGTAACATCCTGCTAGTCTACTGGTAACATCATTTGTACCAAAGCGTTGTAGAGTTTGACAAGATATAGCATTGGTAGAGATGGATGGTGGTGAAGTGATGGGGAGAAAAGAGAAACAGGATTTTGTGGTGTTCTGAAAGCAAGGATGAAATTAAAAGGAAAAGCCTAGATAAAAAGTATGACATCAAAGAAAGTCTTACTCCACATAGGAATTTCTCCCTTCATCTTGCAGTTTCTCTTTTCCTTCATCATCTGGGAGTTAGTCACAGTGCAGTCTGTCCAGTACGCCAACACCTCCTGTTGCAGTCACACTTGGACTTCTACTTGCATGTGTTGGGTACGCTGGACATGCAGGACCCAGGTGTACGTCCCGCCCCACCCCACAGAATCACACTGAAGAAGGTGAACCATGTGCCTAGCCTGGCCAAGGGAATGACTAGCAGCCTCTTTTCTTTCTCCTTTAATTCCCAGGTGAAAGGGAGTCACCTCTCTTCAGTTTCTTACAATCAAACCCTTTCTTTTTGAATGCCTCCAAGTGACTTGCTTTACCTCTCGATCCAGAGCATTGGTCAAAGTACGGACTTCTCCCGTGTTTCTGCTTATGAGGAACATGGGTGTTCCCGTAGGTTCCTGGGAGACGATTTTGAAGGCAATTTTAGAGTTCAGGTGGTTTGGCTCATCCGCATCTGTGGCATTTAGTATCATCACCAGTGAGTCTAGGAATACAGGAAAATGTTCATTAAAGAATCCATAAAGAACAACATTATACTCACATTATTTACTGCAATCTCATATGGATTTTCTGTGTCTTAAAGCTATCTCTATGCACAAAAAAATTACATGTCACTTGTGATGTCTGTGTCCGTGTTTCTCAACCAGGTAGAACTGTACCACCTTCCACAAAAATCTTCCAGTTTTTCTGAAGCCTTGGCCTGATGGAGGCTGAGGATATTTTCTGTCTTTATGACTTCCCTTGATGGGTGGCCTTATGATTATTTTTACTTATGATCCAAGTAAAGTATGTCTCTATCTTTTTTTTTTTTCCAGTACCGGGAATTGAACTCATGACCTTGCACTTGCCAGGCAGGCACTGTGCCGCTGAGCTAAATCCCCAGCCCCAGTATGTCTCTATTTTTTAAACCTAAAACACCCCAACTTGTATGTTGGGCTAAGATTGCCTCTTCAGCTTTGGGCTACCTGATGTTCACGGAGCTCGTAGATATAGAAATAGATACCATCAACCTAATAATAAAACTATTGCCTAGAAATACAGTGGTGGTGAATTATTAGCTCAACCACAAGTTTTAGCAAGAAGAACTGTATTATTTTTGATGAATTTGTTTTTGCAAAACAACGAAGAAAGTAATGGAGAAAATTAGCTTGTACAAATAATAAACCATAGTGGTACTTGTAATTGAAAAATAGATGAAGTGGAAGTTGTAGGTACTATAAGACTTACTTGAAGCACTGTTTTCTTCAATTTCACCCTTGAATATTCTTTGTGAAAATACTGGAGCATTATCATTAACATCTAAAATTTTGACTGTTAATATAAGCGGTTTTTCCACATCTTGTCCTAGGACATTTAGAGCTCGACATGTGATCTATGAACAGAAGGAATGTCAATTATTACTCTACCAGGTTAATCTTCATATTATTAAGACTCTTAGAAACAAGGCCTCTGCTAGCATGTACGGAACTTTTGTGTAAATGAGGAAACCCCTTCTTGAAAGGATGAAGAGAATGGAAAAAGTTACCCAATCTTGCCATCGGGCAAGTTGCCTCTTCTTCCTGGCTGATGTGTCTCATGTCAGGAGGAAGCTCCTGGCAAGCGGGGTGCTGGCTTTTGGCCCTCACCCATCCATCTTCCCTCCAGGTTATCAAACCCCAGTGGAGGTTCTTTGTAGAAGGGCTCGTGTTGTTATTTGTTGGTGGACTGATTCATGTACTCATCTCTCTTCTACATTAGCTAGTAGACGGGTCGCTTGGTAAAGCCATGGAATCCGAGACGAGGGGAAGGGAAACGTGGTGTTGAGTGCGCAGACTTACCAAGAAGCTTGGGGTTTCCTCTCGATCAACGATCGCTGTTATATTAATTTCACCAGTGTTTGGGTCAACAATGAAGATTCCAAAAGGGGGCTGGTCAATTCCCACTCCAGAAATTCTATAGGTAATTTTCTGGGTTGTTTGGAAATCTGAAGTAATCTGCAAGCCAAAATACCCAAAATGTTAAGGTGACATCACTCAGGCCTTTTCTCTCCCCGTCTTTCTCTATCTCCGTAGTCTAACGTCATTGGTTCACTTGATTCCCTCTTTCTGATACTATAATCTTTACCTTTTGCTCTTTTACATGGTAGGAAGATGAAATAAAGTCAAGGTGTGGCTTTTGTTGACAAGTATTGACCCATATGTGTTAATTATTTGGGCTTTAGAATATTTGCTCAGATTATGGCCACTGGGGTGATGTTCAAATGTTGAGAGATGGACCGAGGTGTAGCTCAAGTGGTACAGCACTTGTCTATCATGAGCAAGCCATAGATTCTATCCCAAGCACCATAAAGATGGTTGAGAAAATCAAAGACACTTAGTATTGAGATTGTTACTTCTGAATTCTCACTCTCTACCTGACAACTTAAAAAAAAAAGAGGATTTTATTTAAGTTTAAAGAAGAGGAAATGGAGGGGGAAAAGGGAACACAATTATATAGCAGCTGTCAAAATATGTAATAAGATGAATTGCTTTTCATTATTAAGATTTTAAGCCTTTTACTAGGGTGATTTCAAATATGTGCCCTAGGTTAGAATAGTACACTAAGCCTGATACATCTCAGCACCCAGTTTCAACAATTATTCATACATGGCCAATCCGACGCTTTTTCCCAACTCTCTCTGATTATTTTATCTCTCTATATTTTTCCTTATAGCTTGTTAGAATCTGGATCCAAGTAGGCTTATGCATTAAAATTGGTCAACAATGCCTCTTAATTTTATTTTATGACCTTGGAATTATCATTCTTCCACCTTTTTTTCCCTTACTGTTATTATTATTTTACTTCTTGTTAGAGATACTAGTTTATCTGTTCTGTGGACTTCCCCATCTGCATTTTGCTAACTGGAATTACTGTGTTAGTTTAATTTACATATGACTCGTTTATTCTAAAAATCCACACTGGCCCTACTGATATGACTTACCCTGGCAATGGGGTTTCTCTTGGAGTTGTCTTCTCTCTCTCTGCAAGGTGTTGCAAATTTCACCCACTCACGTTTGTACCTCCTTTTGCCCTGTTGAACTGCTGTCTCCTCTTCTCCATGTGGGTCTTTTGTCTGATGTAAAAAGATCTCCATTTTGTTATGCACGTTGTGGCGATTTTTGCTTTGAATATTAGTTATGGACACCTAAGTTGAACTCCCTAAATTTGAAGATACCTTAGACTGTTAGATGTTCAATTTACTCTGACACTTTGTCAAGGAAGAAACTCCAAATAACTAAGACTTTTACAAAGCTATATGATTTCTAGTATTAAGTATTAATCATATTTTATGTATGTTTTATATACTTTACAATATCTAACTGTTCTAGACGTATAGGATGCGACTTGCTGATTTGTGGATTTTTTTTTTTTGTCTTTTTGAGACAGGTTCTTGCTATTCAGGTCAGGCTGGCGTTGAGCTCGCTTTGTAGCCCAAGTTGGTCTTGAACTTACAATGATCCTACTGCCTCAGCCTCCCAAATGCTGGGATTACAGGTATGCACCACCACACCCAGCGACTTGCTGATTTGTATAGATAAAGAAAAAGAATGCATGAGATAAAGCAGGCTACTAACATGTCAGATGACTTTTTTCTAAAAACATATAAGTTAGTTGCTAGAATTTTAACTTTATATAGTTTTACAATTATCAAAGAATTTTAAACATTAGCTATTTTTCTGAAATACAGTGTTAATTTTTTTAAAGCCTTTATTTTAATCACAAAAATGTTCTCATACATTACCTCTATCCGCAATTCTCCATGAACCAATACAAACACCTGTAGACATTTAAATAGAGTTAAGTTACATGTGCATTCTTCAAATAAGTAATTACATAAAGTTAATAATTCAGATTGTTATAGTCTATGGCTCATGTAATAGTTTGTTTCTATTTCTGCAGAATCCAGTTTGGAGAAGCAATAGTCATAGAATAAACTACCAGTGAGAGGAATATTGCCCTCAGTATAAACAAGTTACTCCAGATTTTTAATCTGACAATAGAATTTTAGTGATATAAAGAAGGACCTACTGGACTTTGTACAACTATACCTAGCAGCTGTTTATAGCAACCAAACCTTTATTATATGGTTGTTCTATAAACAGCTCCCTGAAGCCATAGAAGGCATTGCTTTGGGGAACAAGGATCACTGCAACAAACTTCAGCAAGTGGTCCTAGAAGCTTACTAAAAGCCCATGCTTATCCACCCGACTTGAACCAAGGCAAGCCTGGTTTAGCCCCAATTACAGGGCATTTTCTCTAGTTGCGTGAGAGTAGAGAGGACAGAATGGAGCTGGTGTGGCTTAGTGAATGGAACTTTTTATAAAAGATAGGGAGATACTATTCCAATCACAACTACTGTTTGCTATGGAACATGGATCTCTTCATCTCTTCCTTATGCTTCAATTTAAAGGTTGAACTTAATTTTCACACTACCAGTGTGAAAAAATTAAAAGCAGGAAGAACAAAGTCAGACAGATTCACTTTCTTAAGAGGATACAGGAACTTCACCTGTATTTTCCATCTTGCTTTCCACCTGGAATACCTTCCTCTTTCCTCTTTATCCACCTCAACATTACTCATGCTTTAAGATTGTTTCATGTTCCAACAAACTCCACCAGGCTATCTCTGCTCATGTCTCCTTTTCTGAGTCTGTACCTCTCATACACTGAACTATGCAGTTTAACCCATGGGGGCTCACTATGCTTATTATTTATTTTTGGTTTTTTGAGACAAGGTTTCGCTATGTATTCCAGGCTGGTCTTGAATTTGTGGTGATCCTCCTGCCTCAGTGTTCCTAGAACTGGGATTACAAGCATGCAGTACTACACCTGGCTCATGGTTTATTATTGCTTATTTTATTTGTGCATTAAAACATTTCTCTGCTAAATCAAGACAATGGTAAACTTTTCAAATCAGTGCTTTTATATTATTATTGCTTTTTCCCTCCTCAGTAGATATTTAACAGCTCTTGACCGATCTGCTGATTATGTGTATTGAAGTAAATGTGGCAGGAAAATTATTAAGGAAACTAAACTAGAAGAAAAAAGTAGAGGAGTTATGATAGTAGCTAATGTTTCTTATGTGACTTACTAGTATTTATTCATAGAGATTTATACTTATTTAACATTCACAACAGCCCTTGGAAGGAGGGTCTCTTGTTATAATCCTAATTTTTTTGGATGGGGAAATGGAGATATAAGATAATAAATACCATGTTTGTGCTAGTAAATGGTTCTGGTAGAGCCAGGATTTGAACCTCAGCAGCCTAATTTCAGGTAGCGTACATCACCACCACACCAAATTCTAACAACAGTTGGCATAGATACATAAAAAAATAAACAAGAAGTCTCCAGATAGTGACGGGAGGAAGTTTATAGGCAAATCAACTTAGATTTATGCCTGGCCAAAGGGTGAGGTTGTTCTTAAAACAATGAAGATTTATTACACTGTTTATTGTCAGAGGTTTTAATGAACAGATGAGCCCGAGGTTGAACAGAAGGAGTAATTATGTCAGACACAGGATGCCGGGACTCTTCCATTCTAAACATTTCAGCTGAAATCTGATTTTAAAGAGTGTGTGTTCAAACGGTCATGAAAAGGGCCATTAGAACATGCCTCACGATGATTTTACAACACTGGTGCTCTCTATTAGGCAATGCCATGAATTACTTGGGAGCAAAGACCAGAGCAATGCAATAATTGAACAACTCCTTTCTTAGATCCTAAGAAGAAAGACTCAGCCGCATGTGAGGGGAGGGACGGGCCAAGCCTGCTCCTCTTTACAGGAAAAGTGGAGTCATCTCGAAAATATGAATCATGTTTCTACTAGCCCCAGAGAGAATGGTTCTTCTCATAGACCTTAAGGTGCCATTTCTCTTTTCCTGGGAGGCGGAGAAAAGACAACCCTAAACTGCAGAGAATTAATATTGTAGACAGTTGTTTCTTTCTTTTTTTTTTTTCCAATCTTTCTTTGGGTGTGAGAGGACTTAAAGAAATTTGTTCATTCTAAATCATTACTCTTTCCTGTCTTTTAAAATCAGACCATCAAGATGTCCCTTAATTTTAGGAAACATTGTAAAAACGTGTTTTTTCCATCTGGGAACACAAGGGTAGTTGATAAGAAACACTGCTGAAAGTTACAATGTTCTTTAGCTATTTAGAAATGTAATCACACCCATACATTGTTTAGAATGGTATTTTCTAAAACACTTAATTTAGTTAATAAATACTTACATAATAGCTACTTATCTTTTTTTCCAATATAATTATTTTGATTACTTTTAAACAATTTTTGACAAATGAAAATTATGTAAAAATATCATGTATAATATATTGTTTTGGGCTATATCCACATTGTGGGACAGCTACATTGAGCAAATAGATATATAAATAATTTTCTAATAATTTAAATCAACTAAGTTGTCTCTTTTGGTAGCCTGAATCAAAAATACTAATGTGAAAAAAGCATCTATTATTTTGAAAATTCCTGTACTCTTATCTCCTTGTTTGAAACTTATGTTATAAAGGGGGCTGGGGATTTAGCTCAGCGGCAAAACGCCTGCCTGGCAAGCGCAAGGTCGTGAGTTCGGTTCCCGGTACCAGAGAAAAACAAAACAAAACAAAACAAAACAAAAAAAAAGAAACTTATGTTATAAATTTTGATTATATGATTTTTAAAGCACTGATATAGGCTAAATGTTCTGCTATAGATGCAAATTGAAATATTAGATTAAAAGTAAATCTAATTATTATTTCTGATTATAGGGTAGCATAAAGATAGGTAATTTTATGTCTCTATGCCCTATTTGCTAATAAAAATGAATACAATTGTATCATTAACATGGTTATTGAATAAAGTAGGTCTATACAAAGTATAATTTGAAGACACATATGGCTATATTTATTGTATTGTATTGTATTTGTACATGTGTGTGGTACATGTTTACATTCCTGTGGGGAATTGGTACATGTACATAACACATCTCATTCCTTTTTCTAAGCCCTTTTTCTCCCCTCCCTCCTCCTACATGGATAGGTTTTTAAAACCCATTTGCTGCTTAGCCAAGATTTTGGTTAGTTACCTCAAACTTTAGCATGGGAGGAGACCCATCATTGGACTATGGGTTGGGTTCAGGGCAGCTAGTTCACTGGGCTAGGCCAAGCTGCTCTTCCCTTCTCTTGAATGGGAATGAGGATGGATCATTCTCACTTCCCTTGGGGAAATTCATAGAATGAATTATAGGATTCAAATAAATCACCCATCTTAAATATGATTCAGTGTGTATTAATATTTTTGGAAAAATTTCATATATAGATTTTATTCTTATAATGGATGAGTTACAATGATTGTGAATGTGTCAGATCACAGAGATCCCTCAGTACGTTTGATAAGTAAGTCATGTAATGTGAAATTCAGAAGAAATGAGTGGTTTATCCTCCTGATTTCTCCCTAGAGACATGCTCCTCCATTCATGATGGAATATGTTCTGAAAAACCCACGGTAAGTTGGAAATAGGAAGTTGAATACACATGAATATACCTAGCCTAGTGAACATCACGCTTAGCCGCACCTACTGTAAACATGTTCACAGCACTTACATTAGCCTACAGTTGGGGAAATCATCTAACACAAAGCTCATTTCATAATAGAATGCTGACTACTTCATGTAATCTACTGCATATTTCACTGCAAGTAAAAAACATAGATTGTATGGATGTGCTTTCTCATTGTAAAGTTAAGAAGTTTTTTTTGTTGGTTCTTTTTTGTTAGTTTTTTGGTTTTTTGAGACAGGGTCTCCATTTGTAATCCAGGTTGGCCTCAAACTCATGATTCTCCTGCCTCCACCTCCCAAAGTGCTGGGATTGCAGGCATGTGCTGCTCACACCTGCAAGAGCTGAAAGTTTGTCACCATTGTAAAGTCAAGCCGTCATAAATCAGAAATGCTTCACTGAATTTTTAAAGTGTCTAAAACATTCTAATAAACTTTGTATTCATCAAGATAAATTCCTTAATTGAATAAAATTACATATGCCTAGCCACTTAGATATTATTTAATTGCAAACAATTCAATTTCCAGTGACTGATTTATAAACTCAATTACTTTAGAAAGTACAACTTCATATCCTGGTAGGGTTGCTAAGAAAAACAAATGCCCTTGGTGCTATCAAATGTTCCTTTTGAATGCTGTGTAGTAGGTAGTCATGAGTGGTAATATAAAACTGGACGCCGGGTCTTGAACTTGAATCCTAGACCCAGCTATGTATCAACTGTATAACTTGAGAATATTACTTAATTCTTGTTTCCTCATCTGTCATAAAGGAATAATAATCTTATTTGCTGTATAGATTTGTTGTGAGGACAGAAATAATAGGAATAACATTAGTCCTAGCCCATAGTAAGTGCTTAATAAATGTCAACCATTTCTATCACCAAACCAAGAAAAAAAGAAAGAAAAAGGTATAAAAGAGCCACTTTGATTAATGTGAAATGCCTTCTTATTACTATTCACAATCAAGATGCACAAGAATTGCTTTCTTTCTTGAGCAAAGACACAGTGCTCCACTGTACCAGTGTTTAGGTTGGTCCACGCACATCCCCAGAAGGCAGTGTTCACACCTACTGGAGTTGTGCAACACACAGCCTGGCAGCTGCACAGCCGTCCCGTAAGGAAAATGTGTGTATTAGATAGATTCCATTATTCATCATGTAATTAAAGATCGTAACCAATTGCCCAGGTAATTGCCTTGGGATGAGCTTCCCAAGGCATGCCCTCACCTTAGGCTACTAGATTGACTTTTTACTGAAAAGGAAAGGCCAAAGGCTAAAACATCTACGAGAAGCCTCATGGATACCGAGTGTCCTAGTTCCAGATGAAAACTGGTTTCAGGTATTAAGCAAACAGGAGACTAATTGGGAGAAATAATTACATCTTTCCCAACTTCTGCCCAAGTTAGACAGCGCTGAGTAGAACCTCTTGGCAAGGTTATTTTGATTTACGAATCTTTACTTTTGGAGAGGTTCAGTAGCAAATTTATCTTCATATATTTATGAGCAGTAGAAACAATTGTTTCACTGATCAAGGGAAGAAAAGATACCTCAGAAGTTTTTCTTTTGTTAAAATGGGCCATTTAGCGTAAAATCTTTTTCCTAAACATTTATCTTTGGGGTGCTGTATAAAAAAGATGGCTGAAGGCAGTTTACTATATTTAGAAAATGTTCTAGTCACAACTTGATATTTAAATTGCTTTTTTCCCTTATTTTCCCATCAAAGCATTGATCTACGGTTTCCTTCGAAGACTAAATTATTTCACAAGATTAAAACTTTCTATTTTGTATTGTGTGAAATGGATCCAACAGACATAAGAAGCTAATAAATATATATTTTCAAGGACTGGGCAGATGTTCCTCATGCCTTCCCCTTCCAAATAATTCACCTGAAAAACTATGCAGCTGAAATTTTAAGACAATTTCCATTTGGAAATGTTATTTTCCCATGGCCATCATTATAGTAATTTAAAATAGAGCTTCTGGCTTTTTTTTCCTGTCAGTATAAACATTAACCTCACAACTATTTTTGATATACTGTAACTCCAGACAGTAGAGGCCCTTTCGTGACTTACTAAAACTAGTGTTGATGGTCATTGCAAATAGTGAGATACAATATTAAAAAGTCAGCAAGATTGTCTATTATTAAAATATTACACATAATAAACATTATACTCTTGGCACTTCTTAAAGTGGCTTTGCTCTCGTTCGGCCATTTTACGTGGGTGGGAATGGGGTACGGCTACTTTTCTTTGGCAGTGGAGGCCACCAGGCCTGGAAAGAGTCAAAAACACAGCTATAGGTTCAGACCTGTGACTTTGCTATTATAGCTCAGCTTCCTAGCTACCTTGAATGGTCTTTGGGTGGTGGAATTATTTCAAAACCTCCAGACAGGTCTTCCAACTTTCAGACCCCACCCTTCAACAACAAAAGATGTGCATTCCTGCTCAACAATGATTCTGAGAGCATTGCTTTTTATTCCCCATAACCACACTATTTCAAAACTCTGGGTGGTTCCCCGTGTGCACCTTTCAACCTCACCCTCCTCTAGCTTTTCAATTCATCTCCGGATTCTCCAATACAAACTTTGATTCCAGTCAAACCAGTGAGTCCATTGCCCCTATGCAAATGCCCTAACTACATCCATCTTTGCTTTTGTTCATCTGAAAACTGAAGATTCCTCTCTTTGGTCCATCTCAACTTATCAAATCTCAAATCTCACTGAAGCCTCAGAGGCTTATTTACCTGCCTCACTTCTGCCTAATACTGCTTTCCCCTAACAGAATTACTTGCAGACCATTACTGCCCAAAAGAAATACAACCAGACCCAGAAATGCCAGCCACCTAATTTTAACATTTTTGGTAGTCACATTAAAAAAGCTAAATAGCAGTAAAATTAATTTAAATAATATTTTAATCTAATATATCTGAAATACTATCATTTCAATATCTAATCTACATGACATGAATGATTTATTTTTCATTCTTTTCTTCATATTAAATTCTTAAAATACAATGCATATTTTACACTTAATGTTTCACTCTTAGACCGTCTGCATTGCAAGTGTTAATAGCTACCTGTGGCTAGTAGCTGCCGTATTGGATAGGTGTAGATGTGTGTGTGTGTGTGTGTGTGTGTGTGTGTGTATTTGTAAAATTTTTCTAAGTGGAGGAAAATGTTTACATGGTGTAGTTTCATTCATAATGAGGATTACAGAGGAACTGAATGAGGTTTTATAGTTTAAGAGAGATCTCTTTCAACCATTTCTTCATTCTTCAAATAACTGTGTGCCCACTGGAAGAAAGATATTACAGATTTTTTTTTAAAAACCCCACCATAGCACAAAGACCTCACAGTTGCTGTAGGATAAGAGGGGTGACTGACAGTGGTTCATGAGTTAAAGCAGAGAAAAGAGCACCCTGAGTCATGGTGGCTCAATTCTATGTCATTATTCCAACACTTTTCTGGCTTCCCTGGCTGTATCTCCCCTAGGTTCCTCACTGATTTTGACTGATGGGTTATCTGCTACCTATGGTTTAGTCCATAGTCCTCCCTTCTAGAAAGGTGGGAAAGTCATGCAGCTGTCATATTTTTCTATTTTGGGGGCAAATAAAATCACTGGAAAGTCAAAACAGTCACATTGTCCTAATACAAGCAGTCTTAAGAATGGGTGGGACTCATCTTCGGTTAGAGCATTATTTTATGGGGAATGCTGGGAAATTTTACCACATAAGGCAGCCTGTTGGAGAGCTTTAATTTTTAGAAAGCTTTTCCTTTTGTAGAGTTGGGCATTGATTTTCAGACATGGTGACTGCTAAGAAAGTGCTCTATCAACTGGACAACATTCTCAGCTCTAGAATATTCTTTCTGGAGATCTATCTTCCTATAACTTCTGGAGGTCCATTTATCTGAACTTTTTGAGGGGAGACAATGAAGCAACCTGACATCTAGGTCAAACAAAGTTATCACAGACAGCATGAGGATTAGCACTAGGAAATTTTAAAATATTCATTTGTGGTAGTTAACTATTTGGATATCTTCAAGTAACGGATAATATTGTGACATATTTTTTGTCACTGATAACAACACAGTTAAGATATAAACTAACCTGTAATACCTAGGCTAATGCTTTTCTCTTCAAATTCCACTTCTCTATTAGAAAACATTGTTTACAACTTTGCCTATCAACAGATGTATTGAACTTATCAAATGTTGTGCATATTTTTCCCCCAAAGGCTAGATGTGTTCTTCACATAATGGCTAAACATATAAACTGTTTTCTTAATCCTCTCAACTTCTCTGGAGTAAAATTCACTTTGATTTTAATTCAACAGTCTTTAAGTTAAGCACATGTCAGGTATCAAGACCAGGCATGCAGAGTTCTTAGCTATATACTTAATAAGAGACAGGCAATCTTAGAAAATAGATGCGTCTTTGCTCTCTTTTATGTGTTTCAGTTTTTTTTGTTAGGAAAATGAATAAAAGCATTAGTTTGAAGAAAATAAAGTTATTGTGGAAATGTAACCTTTTAGGAATATTAAATTTTTACTTTGAAATCTATTTCTTTTTGGTTTACTTTTCTTTGTAAAATACAGCATTTAAAAAACAGCAAGGAGGAAACTGGAAATCCTCACAGTTTTGTCATACAGTGGCTTTGGAATTTGTAGTATGAGTTCAGGAATCAGTTATAGTGCTATCTAATAAGGCAAGAAACGGAGAGCTTGGAACTTTTAGAAAAAGACAGGACTTACCATCAAAATGGCCAGAGCCCCTGTGGCTCTGGGGAAGAGCCAAGCCATTGTCTCTGTTCTCTGGAGAACAAATCCGAGAGATCCGCGCGTGGCTGCCTGCCCAGGAGTCTGCAGAGGATGTCCAAAGGCCCTTCCTACAGCAATCTCTGCTGCCTGCTGCCAGAGTCCACAGGTGTCCTGTTAGGCGACTCCTCCCCAGCCTCAACCAAGGATTGGTCTCATCAGAAACACTTGCATCACTCTTTCTTCCAGGTAAAAACTTAGACACACCTCAGTTCCTACAGCAATGGAATCCTTTGTTGTAACCTGAAAGAGCAGCTCCCAGGCTAAAGACAAAGTTGAATAGGAAGGTCCTAGATGAATAATAAGCTAATCATGGTGTGGAAGTGCAAAGCTAGCCCTGATCACACTGACAAGGGATTCGGTTGGCTTTTCATGGTTGGTTACAAATAGAACTGAAAAGCAGAATGAAGCATATAAAAATCCCCCAAATCCACAGAGCACTTATTTGCAGCCCGAGTGTGTGATAAATAAGATGTGCTAAGTAGTAATGTATTTTGTTGAAAGCATCTACATCGAAAAAATCATATCAGCAAATATTACCGCAGATTTTGAATAAAAGCAATTAGAAATAAAATTGAACAGTTCTACAGTGCTTTGGCTATTTGAAATATGTGGTATATTGCAAAATCTGATTTCTGATAATATCTCAATGACATCTTTCCTATTGTATTTATTCTCAGCTATAAGTTTAAAAAGATGAGATTAACAGGCAAGGTAGGCTGTCTTGTACTTCCTTAATTGCTCCAAGTGTGCTCTGGAGCAGTCACCCTGCTTACTGTTGCATATTTGTACGCTCCTCAGTATTTGGCCTCTAACCCATGTTAGGGGAGGGGAAAAGCTACCAATATCATTTTAATTTGTTTGCATTTTCATCTTAGAAAAAGCATTTTCTAGAAGGTCAACAATATCCCAAGAAGGGCTTGGTAGAAGGGCAATATTATCTTTGAAAGTTAAAAAAAAAGTGTTTACGAATCAAATATTAGAAGCTTTTTAGTTTGGAGAAACCTGTTTAGTCACAATATTTAGGGAGAAAAGATTACATACTATAGTCAGGAGTTGTTAAAAAAATCTTGCAGGCAAAATTTTGTTGTTTTTTTTTTAAACTCTAGTAACACATACATAATATATTAAACTGATAAGAGCAGATACTACACTTCATCTTAGTCAAAAGGCTGAGAAGCAATGAGATATACATAATACAAACTCTATCATTTAACTATTTTTAAATGTACAACTCAATATTAAGTATGTTCACATTGTACAACCATTGCCATTACCACCAGAAAAATTTTGCTTTTGTAATAAAGTTTTTTCATGAATAAATGTTATCAGAACACAGTCACGGGGGCTGGGGATTTAGCTCAGCGGCACAGTGCCTGCCTGGCATGCGCGAGGTCTTGAGTTTGATTCTCGGTACCGGAAAAAACCAAACATAGTCACATCCATTTATACTATTATGAATGGTTACTTTGGTGCTACAGTGGCAGAATGGAGCACAGTTGAGTAGGATTATGGATGTATTTTATTTATTTTCTTCATTGTATCTTTACATATTTTCTACTTCTATTTCTATTATGATGATGTATTTGTTTTATAACTACAAAAAGAAAAGTTATTCTGAAAACATTGTAAGAAAGCAAGCTTTTATGAATAACACTCCAAACTTTGGGACAGGGAAAACAAGACAAATAATAAACTTTTAATTCTCTCCCAAGTTACAATTTTGCAATTCTTCAGAATATTGTAGTGCTAATGAGACAAAAGAGGTATAAAAATGATAGCAGTGAATTATGGTAATGGTAGTCATAGTTATGAAGTTGCATTATGGATTAAATTCTAGATATGGCTTGGTTTGTTCTGATTTACCTTTCCTAACATTCCAGTTTGTTGACAAATTTAATTATTTAGGGTGTGAAAATGGTAATTATCATTCCACTTACTTACCCAAACACAGATGAAAGACTCCGCTAATATTTCACTTTTATATTTTGAAATACCATCTAAGGGTTCTTGGTGGGGTGGTACATAAGAATGTGGACGCCCTCCGTAGAAGGGTAAGACAGCATACTTGGCCTAATGCAAGCTAAGCAGTGACAGGTTTCATTGTGTGATCCATAGACAGGTAGGGCTCTCTGATCTTTTTTCCATGTTCCCTTGACAGTGCTTTTGGCTAATACTTGCTTTTCCTTGGAAGACAGGAACCTCAGAAAGGTGATAAAGCACTCTGGGGTTAAGACCACATTTACATTGTGTTGGGAAAGCAGTCTGGATATTTCTCCTGCTGGAGAATACATTTGCACAGTATCTTCTGGGCTAAGCAGTACTTTCTTATACTATTTCATTTGTGCTTAGAAAAGGAAAGAAGGGAGGGTTTCTAGTGGTTTCAGGTTGGATGGTGAAAGTTCAGTCCTTGATACATCAGATAGGATTTTGAGAAGTGACTGAATCATGAAGAATCTGGCTTCCACGTGGATTAATCCATTGTGGATTCATAGCTGAAGGGACGACCAGGAGTGGTGAGAACCGTAGGAGATGAGACCCAGTTGAAGGGAATAGGTAGCTCTTGGGGACTCTACCTTGTCCTAGGGTGATGTCCTGCTTAACAACAGGTCTATCATGATAAGTCCAAGTGACCACAGATCAAAATCTCTGAAACTGAGCCCAAACAAATCTTTCCTCCTTAAATTAATTTTCTCAATTATTTTGTCATAGCAGTGGAAAGCTGACTAACACAGAAACCTACGTCCAAGTTGAAACTGGCTCTTGCCCAGGAGATTGAAATAAAAACAAGACTCATACCAATAATAATCATTGAAAGGAAGCTTTGTGGTGTGAGTACATTGCATTTCAATTAATGTACCATATTGAAAGTAGCATTGGAAAGTAGGTACAGTAGATTATAGGTTAAAAAAGCTAGAGAAACCATTCTCTTTTGGCTGGAAATTGAACTTTGTCATACTGTGGCGGAAGGAGTGAAGCAGCCAGAGTGATTGTTTACCCAAATGGGCAGTGTCTACTGAGGTTTCCACACTGCTCCTAATGCTCATTATCTGCAGCAGTTCTCTTGTCCATCAAGGAGAGAAAGCTAAATACTAATTAAACTTGGCTTCACGAGCAAGCCTCCACTGGCTTTGGTTTGTTTGGACTGGAAACATGTATGTCATAAATGTTTGTGTCACACATTACTACTTTTTGCTGTTTAATTATGCTTGAATGTTCATAAACTCATGAACTGAGTTCCTATTAGTCTCACAAATTAGGCATTAACAAAATTCTGCATCCATCTTGAAATGGCCTGCAAAGGTAGTATCTGTTACCTTGCTATTTAGGGTACTGGAAATCATACATTTTTTCCATTAGGATCATCACCTTGAGGCATCCAGACAAGCCAGAAAGTGTAACTGTGTATCTGTAGAGAACAATTGATGCTTTAATACTTAGCAAAAATGGAGCTGTTGATTCAATTTCTTTTTAGACGATATGGAACATCATCTTGCTTTTATGATTCCTGGAATTATTTTTTATAAAAAGATGTATAATTTTTATCATACATTGTGATTGAGCCTCAAGATAAGAGGCTATAATTTCCCAGGGCTTAAAAGATTACTCATCAGAGCTGAAGCATCGACCCCAAAACATTACATCCTACCTCAACTGTGTTATGCAGATTATTCTTTCTGCAGATCCTTCTCTCTGCATATTGCAGAGGTGATTTCCGGCCTCTCACCTAGCCCAGCTCACGGTGCTCACCTACTTCCCACGGTTCTCACGGTCACTCATCCTCAACCACTCCCTTCTTCAGAAATGAATAAAATCCAGGTTTGGTCCTGGGTCAAGGCCTTTGTTCCAGATAGCCATCATCATGGCTGGATTTAGGACTCGTTGGCTTCCCATAACTACAAATATGCCCTAGTGTCTTTATTCTCACCATGGGTCACACTGGAAGTGGTAGATTGGAATTAACTCACTAGAATTCCAATAACTTTCCCATGGGATTACAAATATAAACTTCCTAGGCTGTGGTGAGGATGGGGAAGGGCTCTCTATACTTCTCCAGCTACATCACAGAACCTCTATCTTTCACATACTCCCTTGTCTTGCTTTCTCCAAGCCCTGTCCCATGTCTTTCTTCTGGTTCTGTCTGTTTCTTCTCATTCTCCAGGTAATAGCTATATCTGTGTCTGCTCCTGACGCTGGGACACTCGCACCCGCATTCCTATTATTTTTATAATTTATCCTGATTTGCTTCTTGTATAGTATGGCACAATTTGTTATTTGCTTCTATAGAGTGGTTTTCTCTACTGCTCAACTTTGAGTTCTACAGGTAGAAATTATGTCTATCAACTCATTAGAGTATTCTGAAGAAATTGCAGAATGAATAAATGAGACTGTATTTATAAACGCTGTTTAAGCACAGGTTATGGGCCAAAGGACACCTAGTGCTTCAAATTTGAATAGACTGTCATTCAAAAGACTATAGTACCAATTCACATTGCCACAGGTAATGTAAGAGCATGACCTTCCCACCACTCTGTGTTCCCGTCTCCAAGTTCATTACTAGTAGTTCTTTTCTGAAAAAATAATGTCTTACGAGAAAATATATTTTAGCTTTATTAAGGAATTTAAACCAGGCATGGCGGCTCACGTCTGTAATCCCAGCACTCGGGAGGTTGAGGCAGGAGGATCACTGTGAGTTTGAGGCCAGCCTGGGCTATGTAGCAAAACCCTGTCTCAAAAAAAAAATTAGATGTTATTTAAAGACATAATTTATTTGGCTTCAGGAAATTAAAATAAGATTTGAGCATGTCAGTTTAGCTAGGTGTGGTGTAATCTCCAGCACGTGTGCACACACACATACACCTCTAAATTTAGAACTTAATTAGTTGTGGATCTTGGTTAGATCCAGGGAACCTGGCATCCCTCCTGGACCTAACCTCATCTTAGACTTTCCATCATTGCAAGCAATTCAGTGATATCATATGAAAAGATATGAGTGCCAGATAGGCAAAGTCGGTACTAATTTATTGCATTCTCCACTTATTTTATGTAACCTTTGCACATTTAAAATCTTGCACTTGATGATAAAAAACACTTGCATAGTTGTCCTCAAGTATTTTTAAATATCCTCGGAGCCTTGACTTCTGTTTTTCTAGTCATCAAATTGTACTGGTACTGTTATTAGGAACTCTTGGGGAGGGAAATTTTA